TACTTTAATACTAAAACAAAAATATATTATAATGAAGAAAAACATGACATATATGCAAATACAGCTATTACAAAATACGAAAAAGTAAAAAAAAACAATCCGTAGTATTTTGATAGTTAATCTATATTTTGGATAGTTAATCTATATTTTGACCATATGAACTGTTCATAATGTCAAAATGTAGATTACATATCCCTTATCCAAAATACCATGGATTTTTTTACTTATTCATATTTTGTAATACCTATATTTGCATATATGTACATAGTTTGGAGATGAAAGGCAAATCAAAACATGAAATTCAGTTATGTTTCATATATATCTTATAGACATAACCTGAAAGTCGTTCTATACACAATATTTTAAATACTTTAGTGAATGAATCAACGTTTGTGCACATCAAACCATCAGAAAGCAAAGATGTCACATATGTGAACATTTTGGATTATGGGAGCACTGTATTTCAGAATTCCAGATAAGGGATGCTGAACCTTTAATTCAATTCATGATACTGCATATTTTATTTGCAACCAGAACATGAGAAAAATAACAGGCTAGCTAACATATTTTAGTAATATATGTTTATATTGTTGGGAGGGAAACAAAGGGCCTACACTTAGGGTATAAACTGTGTATAATAAAGTTTGTGTGGTAATAGTGTGGGTCTTTCTGTAGGTGTTTTTAGATGTAAATGATGTCTTTCAAGCTTGTTTCCTGCTGGGAAACTCCAACTCTTTATCCCAACTGGAAGAAACTTGAATCAATGGGACGTGCCCTAAGTATTGTTGTAACAATGCAAATGAATTTAGTGCATCTATTCTTCTGTGAGGGGCCACTGTGGCGCAGCAGATTAAACTGCTAAGCTGCAGAATTTGCTGACTGGAAGGTCAATGGTTTAAATCTGTGGGATGGAGTGAGCTCCCATTGTTAGCCCCAGCTTCTTCCAATCTAGCAGTTTAAAAACATGCAAATGTGAATAGATTGACAGGAGGGCAAAGGTGCTCCATGCAGTCATGCCGGCCACATGACTTAGAAGGCATCTACGGACAACGCCGGCTTCTTAGCTTAGATATTGAGAGGTGCACCACCCCCCAGAGCTGAACACAACTAGACTTAATGTCAAGGGGAAACCTTTACCTTTACTATTCTTACTGAGAGAAGGAATTAGATATCCCAGTGCTCTATCCATTAGTAAATTGCAGGCTACTGACATCCCATTAACTATTTTTAAAATAAGATGAATGATAAAGCACCATTAATATGCATGAAGTTTTTAAGTAACATTAAAAGACAGGTCCATGTTCCCAGGACTTACATATACAGACAGACCTTTATGATGCTTTTCATATCAGCATAAGCCATGAGTGTCCTTTGGCTGAAAAATGTTGATATTCTCCAGCATAAAGGCACATCTATACTGTAGAACAAATTCAATCTGACACCACTTTTAAATGCCATGGCTCAATGTTATGGAATTACAATCTATCAACCTGAAAAACAGAATAACAGTTCAACATTATAAAGGTGACTGTGGCTGCTAATCCATCTGCTAATAACACTATTATAATATCAACCTCATCACACTAGAGAATGAATCCACTTTAAATCTGGTTTCAGCCTTTCAGAATTCTGGGGTTTGTAGTTTAGGGAGGAGCCTTGAACAGCCTCCCTAAACTACAAAGCCCAGGATTCGGCAGGAGGCAGAAACCGGATTTTAAGTGGATTCATTCTCTAGTGTGAAGTATGTAACAAAATTTGAAATATATATATATATTCCTGGTTTGAAAACATTATTTCCTGTTTAATTGCGTGGTACTTATTTGGAAAGTAGTTGTTATACTCCGGAAACTTAATTTTTGTAGCTGCCAGAAACCATCTTGAATTGGTTGAGACTTGAAGAGATATTCATTGAAAAACTATAGCAAAATGTGCTCCAGGATGTCCCACAAAAACAAAGTTTTTAAAGTGTAGTCAACATTTCACATGTTTTTTTTATGATAGAACGAATTAGAAAATGTCATTTATAACACAGGACAAAAATGTGTTACATAGTGTTATTGAAGCTGTAGTTTTAAAAGGTCTATATAGCCTCCTCTCTGCCAAATTGAGCTTGTGCCTCACTACAACTCCTAGGATTCCATAACTTTGAACCATGGCAATCAAAGTGGTTTCAAACTGGATTCATTCTACACGGTAGATGTACCCTAAGTGTATTTGTGGCCATGTATAATGATCAAGATATAAAGAAGCATAATTTTCTTGGCTCAAAAGACAAGAAACTTTGCGACGGTGGGGAAGAGTTTCTCTGATCCCTTTCCTTCCCATCTTGCTCCCTGACAAATAATTCAGTGAAAGAATGTGTGGCCCGGGGCCAGGAGCTGAGGTTGGAGGAGATTGCGAAACACTGCAGGAGAAAAACAAAACAGATTGGACAGCTCAGCTAAAACACAGAGAGAACTGACAAAGAGGGAGGGGCAATGATATTAGTTGTATGCATGTGCTTTTGTATGATAGAGAGCGAGGTCAGCCTGTTTCAGAAAAACCTTCCCCATTCCTAATCCTAATGTTCCCACTAGACGGCAGCACTCCCTTGTATTCAGACACTTGTGACCACTGCTGAATTGATGAGTGTGGAAATAGACATTGGATGAGAACAATATAGTAATAATAATAATAATAATAATAATAATAATAATAATAATAATATATTCTGGCAAAAATTGAGAGCCAAATTGACAAAGAAAAAACATGGATGTGGCTCACAAATGGAACTCTGAAAAAGGAGACAGAGGGCCTGATTCTGGCAGCCCAAGAACAAGCCATTCGAACCAATGCCATCAAAGCCAGAATTGAAAAGTCGACGACAGATACCAAGTGTAGACTCTGCAAGGAAGCAGATGAAACAATAGATCATATCCTCAGCTGCTGCAAGAAGATCGCGCAGACAGACTACAAGCAGAGGCATAACACTGTGCTCAGATGATTCAGTGGAACTCGTGCCACAAATACCATATGCCTGTGACAAAGAACCGATGGGATCACAGGCCTGAAAAAGTTACAGAAAATGAGCACGTCAAGCTACTTTGGGACTTCTGAATTCAGACTGACAGTTTTGGAGCACAATACTGCTGACCTCTGTTAAAAAACAGAGTGTGGGTGTTGCAATCCCAGGTGACAGCAGGATTGAAGAGAAACAACTGGAAAAACTGACACGATACAAGGATTTAAAGATCGACTTCAAAGACTGTGGCACAAGCCAGTCAAGGTGGTCCCAGTGGTGATTGGCACACTGGGTGCAGTGCCTAAAGACCTTGGCCTACACTTAAAAACAATTGGTGCTGACAAAATTACCATCTGTCAGCTGCAAAAGGCCACCCTACTGGATCCGCACACATTATTCACCAATACATCACACAGTCCTAGACACTTGGGAAGTGTCCAATGTGATCCAATACAACGGCCAGCAGAGTGATCTTGCTTGCTGTGTACTAATCTTGTTGTGTTTCAAACAACAACAACAACAATACAACTTTATTTATATCCTGTCACCATCTCCCAAAGGGACTCAGGGCGGCTTACAAACAGCACATATCAGTGCTATAAAACACATAAAATACAAGTAAAATATACATATGCAGGTTTAGGTTTTGTGGATTTGATTATTTGAGGAATTCATTATAAAATGGTTTTAAAAGAACCCTTAGGTAATCCAGTGTGACTCTATGTGCAACTTCCTCCAGTCACGTTGAAGGATCTATAAATTTCTAGAGAGAAAACTTTTGTAGGACTCCCAAGGCCCTCCAATGCAATGCTATGGTTAACATTTAGCACAGTGGTTCCCAACCTTTTTTTGACCAGGGACCACTCTCCAACATTAGTAGCAAAAGGGTTACGAATCGATTTTTGGGCAACTTTAGAAAACTGCCTTAAACTCATTAAAGAAGAGTGTGGTGGTGCAGTGGGTTAAACTGCTAAGCTGCAGAACTTGCTGACTGGAAGGCTGACAGTTTGAATCCATGGTCGGGGTGAGCTCCTGCTGTCAGCCCCAGCTCCTGCCAACCTAGCAGTTCGAAAACATGCAAATATGAGATGATAGGTAACGCTTCGCCAGGAAGGTAATGGCGCTCCATGCAGTCATGCTGGCCACATGGCCTTGGAGGTGTCTATGAACAACGCCAGCTCTTCAGCTTAGAAATGGAAATGAGCACCAACCCCCAAAGCTGGACACAACTAGACTTAACGTCAAGAGGAAAGCTTTCCATTTACTTATCAGGGCCCAACGTCACCCACTGAGATTCACGGCATGGTGGAGTGGACTTTATCACACAAGGCTGGCAAAGCACAACTACAAACTGTCTTTGCATGGGGCTAAGGGCCCTTGCACATAGCCCTATAATCCAGAATATCAAGGTAAAATATCCCACAATATCTGCTTTGAACTGCATTATCCGAGTCCACGTTGTCCTATAATCCAGTTCAAAGCAGAAAATGTGGGATTTTATTCAGCTGTGTGGAAGGGGTCCCAATCAATGCTAATTTATCTTCCATGAATTTGGATATTTATATGGCCTGAAACCTAGTAATGGTAGTGAGGATGAGGATGATGTAGTGTGGATGCCCTCACATCAGTTTCAGGATCTCAGGCAAGTGAAGATGATGGGAGTTGTAGTCTGAACACAAAGATCTGTACTCTGTAGACATCATCCACAAAAGTGCCATGTCTCAAAGCTATGAGATCCTAGGAGTTGTACTTTAGTCAGGAGCCTGAGTTATTTGGACAGAAAAAGTTAGAAACCTTACCAAACTACAACTCCCATGAGCTGAGGCTTCTGGGAGTTGGAGTCTCTATTGGTTTGGCGAGATGCTTGCTCGTCCTCCCGATTGGCCAGCGAGTGAGCCGAGCTTTTCGTTTCATTGGTTAAGCTACGTGCTCGTCACGTGGCTCGTCCAATCAGAATCACGGGGTCGGTTCGGACCCGCCCGCTTTCGAACGCGAGGGCCAATCACGTGACCATTCCCGGAAGCAGAGTGCAGAACCCAGAAGGCATGGATGAATGGGATGTGTGCTTTCCTGCAGAGGAGCAAGTAAGTCCCATGCATCCCAACCCTGAAAAGGGAAGGGGACAGGTCATCAGTTAAGTAATAGGTTTTTTAAAATAACAAATAATAAGGCGATAGGCACTGGAGGATTTCCAGATGTCTTAATATATGGAGTTATAAGGCTCTAGAATAGATATCAAAGCACTTGGAGTACATCCACACCATAGCGTTAATACAGTTTGATCCCATTTTTAACTGAATTGCCATGGCTTCGTGCTATAGGATCATGAGATTTCTTTGGCAGAGAAGGCTAAATACCTTGTTAAACTATAACTCCCAGGATTGCATAACACTAAGCCATGGTAGTCAAACTGCATCCATTCTATAGTACAAGATTCTTTACATTGTGGGGAGTAGATGAGTAGATGAGATCATAGGTCAGTGATTCTCAACCTGTTTGTCCCCAGATGTTTTGGCCTTCACCTCCCAGAAATAATAATAATAATAATAATAATAATAATAATTATTATTATTATTATTATTGTCATGTCGGGAGTGACTTGAGAAACTGCAAGTCACTTCTGGTGTGAGAGAATTGGCTGTCTGCAAGGACGTTGCCCAGGGGACGCCCGGATGTTTTGATGTTTTATCATCCTTGTGGGAGGCTTCTCTCATGTCCCCGCATGAGGAGCTGGAGCTGATAGAGGGAGCTCATCCACGCTCTCCCTGGATTTGAACCTGCGACCTGTTGGTCTTCAGTCCTGCCGGCACAAGGGTTTAACCCACTGCACCACCGGGGGCTCCAATAATAATAATAATAATAATAATAATAATAATAATAATAATAATATATTTATATTCCGCCCTTCTCACTCTGAAGGGGACTCAGGGCAGATCACAGTACACATACAGTGCAAACATTCAGTGCCACTTTGTATAGACAGTACACAGACAGAACAGCAAGGTGTGTTGTTTGGTTGCTGTCACTCCATCCTCTGATGAAGAGGCATCAGGACTTCCTCATTCCAGCATTTTCTGATCATCTTTTCTTTATGGCGTTGTAAAACACCTCCCCTGCTTTTAGCGGTACCTAATTTCTCTAATTACAGCTAAAGCTGTTTTCTAACTGCTTAGGTAAACAGTGAGTTGGGCTGACAGTCAGCCGGCCACGCCGACCCGGAGCTTCAAACTTTCAACCTTTTGGTTGATAGATGATATAGTTGCTGATGATTTACCAGCTGAGCTAAACCTCCGACCCTGGCTGGTAAACTGGCTGGGATTTATGGGAGCTGTAGGCCAAAACACCTGGGGACCCACAGGTTGAGAACCACTGCACTAGATGATGTGGGACTACAACTCCCATCGGGTCATGCTGATAGTTAATTGAGCAGACAATTGGAAGATGTAGTTCAGCAAAGGATCTAGAGCAGTGATTCCCAGATCTAATTTGAACTTCAACTCCCAGAAGTCCCAGACAGCTTGGCCAACAGTCAGGAATCCTGGGAACTGAAATCCAAAATATCTGTAAGCCTGCTTTAGAAGGCTACACATTGATCGCCCCTGGTCTGGACAAAATAGGTGCTATTGCCACAGATCCAATGTGGAGTCACCGGCCACAAATCTTCACCCAGCAGCTATTGCTTATCAAAATATCAATACAATGCCTTTATATGAGTATAATTTCTCTGAAATGCTTGGGACCAGAAGAGTTTGGGGTTTTAGATTTATCCCCCCCCCCACCCCGATTTTGGAATATTTCCACATACATGATGGGATACCTTGGCAATAGGACCCAAGTCTAAACACACAATTTATTTATCTTTCATATAAAACATATTGAATCAGCTGTCAGAATTCAAGACACAACTGAAGACCTATCTCTTCAGGCAGGCCTCACTCGTCAGTTTTAAACTCTGGATTTTAATCTACATTTTATTAGTATCAGTGTCATTCTTTGTTATGTGTGTTTTCATATATGTGTTGTAATAATATTATATTTTATCTATTTCAACCATGTTGAGCCAGCAGGAGAGACAGTCAGTGAATACATTCATTATTATTGTTGTTTTGTTTATTTATTTATTGTATTTTTACCCTGCTGTATCTCAGCCCCGAAGGGGACTCAGAGCGACTTCCAAAATGGCAATGATTCAGTGCCACATTACAACATAAAATATATAAAATAAAAATATATTCTGCATTAAAATCATAAAAACAATAACATATAATCAATTTAAATAATCTGTTTAAATCATGTTTTTATTTTGTTATATACATGTAGCCTGAAAGTATGTAATTTTATATACAATATTTTTAATAATTGTGTTCATGAAACAGTGTTTTTGTACAACGAACCATCAGAAAACAAAGGTGTCACCCTCTCAGCAATCTGCCTGCACAATTTCGGAGCATTTCAGATTTCCATTTATGGAATGCTCAACCCTTTTTCCACAGGCTCATGAATTTATTTTAGGCTATTTAAGTGAATATCATTGATGTTCTACTTTTTGTAGATCTGCCAATCCTTCCCACCTTTAAGATACACTTCCATTTTTTTTGAAGGAGCAGCCATTGATTTCTTGTGCCTAGGAGCTGCGGGGTGACTTTGGTCCGTGAGCATCAAGATCTGCATACCTTGAAGCCAATGTCAAGCCAGATGCCACAAAGAGAGGAGGAGGGGGAAGGAGCAAAGCTGGGTGACAAAGAGGAGCTGAGCAGGAAGGTCAGTGGGAAAGGGAATCATAGAATAATAGAGTTGGAGTATACCACATGGGCCATCTAGTCCAACTGCCTGCCATGCAGGAAAAGGAGATTCCCCTTAAACTGTGCCATGGCTGCCTCCTTGAGAATCCTGTAGTTTGTTCAAAGGAGAACTCTCCAGATAAGGATCCTAAAGGCCCCTCCCCAAACTGCAAATCCCAGGATCCACCCTGCATTCGCTAGGGGTGATAAAAGGATCCCACAAAGTAGAACCATAGCACTATACTTGTGCTGTGTGAAAGGGCCTACTGCAAGTGTTCTGCATCAGAATAATTTCTGGTGCAAAAACCATGAGCAAGTATTGATCTCTGCTATCAGGTAGTGGACAAAGATTAGCAGTGAGGGGTCTGACACATTTGAAGTTTTGACTTGTGGATTTGATTACACTATGTAACACTTTTTTTTTGTTCCTGGGTTATACATGTCATCTTCTAAGCAGCTCTGTCATAAAAAATATGGGGAAAAGTTTATTAAACTGCAAAAACTTTGATTTTGCAGGACATCCTAGAGCACATAGTTTTTCAATGAATATCTCATAGAGTCTCAACCAATCCAATATAGTTTGTGGCAGGCACAAAAATGAAGTTTTTGGAGTAAACAACGACTTTCAAAGTCAGTACCGCACAATTAAACAAAAATAACACTTTCAAACCAGAAACAGGTTTTTTTTCAAATTTTGTTACACATTGTTATTCATGGACTTGATTTAAAATGTTCTATCTAGGAATCTAAGTCTTCAGTGAAGGGATTACTGCCTTTAGACTTCAATCCTGATCATATTGGAGGACAAGCTCTATTGAACACAGTTGGACATATTTTTAAGTAAACATGTATAGGGTTGTGCTTCAAAGTAGAAAGTGGGTGTCCACTTAATAGGGGTGTTATCTCCAACACAAGAGGCTATGCAAGTAGATAAAATATATACTATAACTATTTAAAAAGTATATTATTATATCGTATTTATCCAAATTGCCAGCAGCAATGCAACCTCATTGCTCCTTCTCACTAGTGCTAAAAGGGGAACTCAAAGCATGTCTTCAAAGTCAGCCTTCATTCAATTCACCTTCTAGGCATTTGAGTCATGTTTGAAAGGGATATCTTATATCAATTCCATCCTGCTTCCATCCTACAACTTATATATAACTAATGGGATCTATTTCAATTTTTTCAATATTTTTAAAAGTCTACTTAACTACAAAACTAATATCTGATATGATCAGTATTTTCAGTAATCCTGAAGGAGCCATGGTTGTACATTGCATTAATCCCTTTTGCTGGCTGAACTGCTGATCTGAAGTTTGGCAGTTCAAATCCGCGAGACAGGGGTGAGCTCCCTCTGTCAGCTCCAGCTTCCCGTGCGGGGATATGAGAGAAGCCTCCCACAGGATGGTAACACATTTGGATACCCCTTGGGCAATGTCCTTGCAGACGGCTAATTCTCTCACACCAGAAACGACTTGCAGTTTCCCAAGTTGCTTCTGACATGATAAAAAAGTAATACTAAATACAGTGGTATGTATTAGTGAGGGTTTGCTTCCTCCCATTAATGCCAAAACCCATTATATACAACAGAATAGAAAAATGGTGTCTCTTATTAAAATTGGCATAAGAATTGCTTTTGGGGTTTGAATCCGTGGACCAACCTCAGTTTGAAAGAGTTTGCAGTTTGCCTGGAGAAGATAAAAAGTGTGAACTGCATTTTGCCAATAGACGCTGACTTCTTTGGTTGCCAGACTATAAGAAGGGGAAAAAAACCCTTATTTTTAATTAATTATTTGAATCAGATGTTTCTTTTGGGCTAAGGATTGACTTGCATTGTAAGAAAATTGCTTTTTCGGTCTTTCAGATTAAAGAGCAAAAAGTTATAGTTGATGAACTTTCCAACTTGAAAAAGAACCGGGTAAGTAACTTGCGTTTGATTATTACTAATGATTGGTGAAAGGAAGCAGATATGTATGGAATTGGTACCCTGATTAATGTACAACTGCATCAGTTTGCAAAGTAAATTGAGTTGTTTTTGCTGTATTATGAATCGTGGTTTCCCATTTAAAGCAAAGACATGGTAAAAGGATGCACAAGGCATTAACATTCCCTCCTCCTGAACTTTCATGTGGAGAATTGTGTCCCAAGAGAAGAACTAATGATGTGTTGATTACACTGTGTAACACAATTTTTGTTCCTGAGTTATAAACATCATTTTCTAATTGGTTCTATCATAAAAAAGCATGGAGAAAGTTTATTAAACTGTAAAAACATTGTTTTGGTGGGACATCCTGCAGCACACTATGCTATAGTATTTTTGTGAATATCGAATCAAGTCTCAACTAATTCAACATAGTTTGTGGCAGCCACAAATACAAAGTTTCCAGAGTATAATAATGACTTTAAAAGTCAGTATCACAAAATTAAACAGGAAATAACACTTTCAAGTCAAGAACATTTTTAAAAAATGTTCTAGATTTGTATTTTAAAGATTAGAATATAAAATGGTAGAGTGCTCACTTAGAATGTGAGAGGTAACGGGATCGATGCCTGCATTTTCCCATTCATGTTTTCCTTTGTGTATATTAATAAAGAGAATATCCAATTGAAAGTGTGGCTACCTTTTTGGGCTGTGGTGTCACAGCGGGTTAAACCACTAATCTGCAGAACTTGCTGACCGGAAGGTCAGCGGTTTGAATCTGAAGGATGGGGTAAGTTCCCGTTGTTAGCCACAGCTTCTGCCAACCTAGCAGTTTGAAAACATGCAAATGTGAGTAGATCAATAGGAACTGCTTTGGTGGGACGGTAATGGTGCTCCATGCAATCATGCCAGTCACATGACCTAGGAGGTGTCTATGGACAATGCCAAAGGTAAAGCTTTACCTTTAAAATAATTCAGGAAAAAATAGCAGAAATAAGAACATTGTTGCTTCTCTCTCTCTTTCTCTCTCTCTTTCTGGATGTAGTCTGTTTAAGCTTATTTGCTTCTTTTTCTTTTTTCTAGAAAGTTTACAGGCAACAGCAAAACAGCAACATATTCTTTCTAGCAGACAGAACCCAAACGCTATCTGAATGCAAAAGTATGTTCTTAAACGTGATCTGTGTTTGTTTGCTTGTTTGTTTATGTATGTGGCCAATGTGTCTTTTGCCTCTACCTTAAAGCTGGCAGAACACATTAAAATTGCCAGGTTCTCAAAATAAGTTCTGTAGTTGCAAATATATGTTGCTTATTTGAAATTTCAAAATCAGAAATATTCTAAAACGGTGTGTGTATACAGGGGTCGTAATGTTACTTAAATTAAGTGGATATATCTCTGGTGAAAGTTGATTTTATTTCATTTCATGTCCCCTGTTTTTTTGTTTTGTTTTTTTTTTCCTGTCATGGAACTGTAGGCATCTTGTTTTTGGTACAAATCCTAGTGTTCATTTTTTTTTCTTTAAAAACTTGAAACATCTATGCAGAAAAAAAAATTATGGAGACAAAGATCAGCACCCCCCTGCTCTGACTGTGCTCCAAATATTTATGAGCAGTAGGTTCTTGTGGGTTTTTTCGGGCTATAGAGCCATGTTCTAGAGGCATTTCTCCTGACGTTTCGCCTGCATCTATGGCAAGCATCCTCAGAGGTGTGAGGTCTGTTGGAATTAGGACAATGGGTTTATATATCTGTGGAATGGCTGGGGTGGGGCAAGGAGCTCTTCCCTGCTGCAAGAACAAGCCACGAGAGCCCAGCCATTCCACAGATATATAAACCCATTGTCCTATTCCAACAGACCTCACTACCTCTGAGGATGCTTGCCATAGATGCAGGCGAAACGTCAGGAGAAATGCCTCTAGCACATGGCCTATAGCCCGAAAAAACCCACAAGAACCTAGTGATTCCAGCCATGAAAGCCTTCTACAATACATTTATGAGCAGCTTTGACTGTCTCTTTGTGTAGCTGTGGTTCCCATCCATTTTAATTGGGCAAACTGTTCTCTAGTTGCTATTACAAATTTCTAAATTATACTCAGAGTACATGTTGTCACATTTTCAGTGATTGGACCACTAGAAAATATAGATACTGTCTGTTTAAAGTTCATCACTTCCCTTTACAACACTGTGGCTAAAGATGGATTTCACTGTTTTACAGATACATTAGATGAGTTGAAGAAAGCCCACCAGGAAATGGAAAATTCTGAAAAAGCCCGAATCAAGAAGTAGCAAAACCAAACCCCAGTTCAAAATGTGTGGAATCTGCTGCCTGGTCAGCTTGTCTCAACATCCTCCTAATATTTCTTTGCTGAAAGAGGACATTTTATGTAATCTTAGAAGGAGAGGGCCCAGCGGTAGCCAAGAACTGGTCAAGAGTGTGCCCCACCTTCCATATCATTGCTTATTTTCTGGCCATGTACTTCACTTAAGGGGGAAGATGACCCCACAGCCTGTGGAAGACCCCACAAGTGATAATGTGCTGCTTTGGAATGGAGAGGTTTTCAGTGGGATCCCCGTCGAGGCTGAAGAAAATGACACTGACATTGTTTTTCGTCGCCTTTGTTCCTGCATTAATGAATCAGACATTCTCTCATTGCTGTCTTCCATCCGTGGCCCATGGTCTTTCATTTTTTATCAGGCATCCAGACATTGTTTGTGGTTTGCCAGAGATTTTTTTGGCCGCCGCAGTCTCCTGTGGCAGTTTAATGAAGAGCTGGACAACATCTTTGCTCTTACCTCCATAAGTGCTGTTTCTGACCATCAATGGAAGGAGGTTCCAGCATCAGGCATCTTCAAAGTGGATCTCCAGGACTGTGCGGCAACGAACACTGTGACGCTGTCATTGTATAAGTGGAGATATCCTTCTAGAGAGAATTCAAGTGAAGAAGGAATCATTGGTGACTCTCAAATGGTTTCCAAACATTTACCAACCCGTTTGTCTCTGGTAATAAATGAATCCAACACATTGACAGCTCCTGTAGTTCCTTTGAATAAGGAGATATGTAAAGTACCCCAAGAATCCCTCTTCCTCCATCTCATCAGAAATGTAGATGATATGCAAGTTCTTCAGATGTTTCTTACTGAACACCACAGGAAGAAACTAGTCCACCAATTCATTGATGTAATGAGTAGAGCAATAAAGAGACGAGTCTTGTGTCTGGTTAGAGATACTGATCAATTACGAGGAGACGTGTCAGATGTGAGGAAGACTGAAATTGCAATACTTTTTTCTGGTGGTGTTGACTCCATGCTTATAGCAGCCCTTGCAGATAGGCACGTTCCTATGGAAGAACCCATTGATCTCCTCAATGTGGCCTTTATGGTTCCAGAGCAGGGACGTCAAAGTGGTTCTACGAAGAAGCACAGCAAAGGGAAAAACCAGTTGCCATCCAGTCCAGAAGGCTTAAATGCCAATAACACTGTGGCTGGCAATTCTGTACCATCTTTTAACGTGCCTGACAGAATTACAGGCAGGGCAGGACTGGAAGAACTGAAAAATATTAATCCTTCAAGAATATGGAATTTTGTGGAAATCAATGTTACACTTGAGGATTTAAAAGCAATGAGACAACAACATATACGTCACTTGGTTTATCCATTGGACACAGTTTTGGATGATAGCATTGGTTGCGCTGTGTGGTTTGCTTCCAGAGGAGAAGGTCTACTTACTAACCAGGGAGATACAAGGCCATATCAGAGTCCTGCAAAGGTGCAGATTTTTCTGTTGACTTGTTTGTTTTTTCTTATATCCCGCCACGTGTGGGATCCTGGAAAGTTTACAACTTGTAATTGATCTCTCTATTATACACACATACATGTTAACCCTGTCATTTTAGTTTTACTGTTTTAAAGCATTTAGATTTCAGTCTTCAGCTTGAATTTCAAAACAGTGTGTTTGTATCTGTGTATGCATGTATGCATGTGTATGACTGGTGAGATTTCAAATTGTAGGCCAAAGGGAATTATCTATCTATCTAATTTTGAGCCTCTTTTGGCAATGAAAGCTACTATAATAATATATAATAATCTTTATTTATACCTCGCCACCATCTCCCCAACAAGGACTCAGGGCAGCTTACATGAGGCCAAGCCCATACAACAAATTACAATAAAATAAGATACAAATTACAATAAAATAAACAGCATTGCAGAAAAATACAGAACATGTGACTACAATAAACAAAATACAAAAAAAACAGTAAACCAAACATAATGACAGTGAGCAGGCCGCATATACATAAAATGATTTTTAAAATACTACAGAGAAAGCATACTTTCTCTATTCAGGCCTGATCTGCTTTTTCAGATTGCACTTGTAATTGTTTTTAATTGCCTTTTACCTAGGGATATTTCAGAGTACTGGTGTTAATGCGCAATTTCCTCTGACATTATAAAAGTCAGTGCCTTGAGCAAGCATCCTTCATTTGGCATTCATTTCATAACCACAGTTACTTAATTGAGATACAGACCTTTGCTATAATTCTATTAGGCTTGTGGTGTCTGTTTTTAATTTTAAAATATTCTTATTGAAATATAAGATAATAGTTAATTGGGAAGCCATTGAGCCATATAAAGCTAGTACTGTAAAAGTTAAATGTTAAAGTAAAAATAAAGTAAGTCTGCAGAAGAGAAGGCTGAGAAGAGGCATGATAGCCATGTATAAATATCTGAGGGGAAGCCACAGGGAGGAGGGAGCAAGCTTCTGCTTCCCTGGAGACTAGGACACAGAACAATGGCTTCAAACTACAAGAAGGAGATTCCATCTGAACTTGAGGAAGAACTTCCTGACTGTGAGAGCTGTTCAGCAGTGGAACTCTCTGCCCCAGAGTGTGTTGGAGGCTCCTTTGGAGACTTTTAAGCAGAGGCTGGATGGCCATCTGTCAGGGGTGCTTTGAATGTGATTTTCCTGCTTCTTGGCAAGGGGTTGGACTGGATGACCCATGAGGTCTCTTCCAACTCTATTATTCTATGATTCTAATGTTAAATAAATGTTTGGGTCCCTATAAACCATTCAATATAATACTTTGAAAAAAGCAGATGAATTGTTAAATAGATAGGTGCAGAGCTTGGAAATGTTTCTTTTTCTTTCTTTTTTTCTTTTGGGACTTCAGTTTCCAGAAGGCCACAGTCTACAGGGACATTGGGAGTTGTAATGACAAAAAATAATTTATCTAAGCTCTATTCAGATGCTAGGGTAGCCTTTTCTGTGGTATTCTCTTTTCCTCGGGCATTTGTATAGGTTTATTTGTTCATTCTTGGTGCTTTGTTCCTGTCATTCATTCTGCTGCATGGAAGGGGCATGGTTTTAAGATGATATTGCGGATGGACACTTCCAGTAACTTTGCAGAGTTTTAAGAAATGCATTCTTATTTTTTCTGATTTCCTGTTTTGGTAAATCCTTTCAAGACTCCTTTCGGTTGAGGAAGTGATATATAAAGTATCCCTGAAACTAACCTGTGCTCAATTACAGATTGTACTTACTGGGATTGGGGCCGATGAGCAGCTTGCTGGCTACTCCAGGCACCGCGTGTGCTTTGAAAAACATGGTCTGGAAGGGTTGAATGAAGAACTAGGAATGGAACTGGGACGTATCTCTTCAAGAAATCTTGGACGAGATGATAGAGTTATTGGAGATCATGGCAAAGAAGCTAGGTAAGGGGACATGCAAGTTAAAGGAAGGGTTTCTCTTTCTGGGAAAGATTTTTTTGTTCTTAATTTATGACATTTGAACACGTGAGCACAAGATACACACTAATTTTATTGGGATGTGTGGCAGCGTTCAAGGCTTTTCCTTGAAGAAAAACCAGTTGGAAAATCACACTAGTGTGTTGACTTTATTGAGGAGCTCACAATTGAGATTGTTTGTGTACATTGAACAGACTTGTAACATGACTTTCTATTTAAACCAGAGATGGGCTCCCTCAAGGAGTCTCAAGACTAGTTGTTCAGGTACCTAAGGCCTCCTTGAACACCTCCAGCACCTTCCAACAAAATCAGAAGCGATCAAAAGGTTTGGACTATAAATCAAGGTTTTTGGGAGGCAGATGTGTGTGTTAGAGTGCCTTGTTTTAAAAGAGAATAACATGCCCCGAGATATCTGGAAATGTGATTTTCCTAATTTTTTTGAATGAGAAGGAGCTTAGGAAGTGCACAGATAACTTTGGCCCCCTTTAGACTGTCATATAATCCAGATTATCAAAGCAGATAATTCACATTATCTGCTTTGAGCTGGACCGTATTAGTCTTCACTGTGATATAATCCAGTTCAGAGCAGATAATCTGCATTTTATATAGCAGTGTAGAAGGGAGCTTAGTTTCCACTTAAATGTAAAAACACCTTCTCACCATTATCATCTAGTGTGGAAGCCACAAACACAAAATTAGCAAACCAACATGCTATGTCCAACAGAATATGCACAATTTATAGCACAGCATTGTGGAACTGCTAGTGCTCATTACATGCAAACACACTCTTGCATTTTTAGAGTGAGATTGGCATGTTATTTCTGGCTGGGTTCGTCTTCTTGCCAAGTTCAACTGTGGTGTGTTGTGATAGCCTCCTTTTCTGCACCTCCTGTCAGCCAGTTAGATGGAGCAAAGCCAAGGAAAACCTTGTTGACGGACATCTTTTTTTTTTTTTTTTGGTCATGTCAGGAGTGACTCCTGGTGTGAGAGAATTGGCCGTCATCCGGGACACCCGGATGATTTTGATGTTTTATCATTCTTGTGGGAGGCTTCTCTCATGTCCCGCATGAGGAGCTGGAGCTGATAGAGGGAGCTCATCCGCCTCTCTCCCGGATTTGAACCTGCGACCTGTCGGTCTTCAGTCCTGCCAGCACAGGGGTTTAACCCACTGCGCCACCGGGGGCTCAGACGGACATCATGTCATGGAGAAAGTGATCCTAGACTATGGATGGGAAGATGCAACCCACCAGATGTTGCTGGACTACCACCCATAACACTATGTAACAAAATTTGAAAGAGTTGCTGTGAGTTTTGGGGCTGTAGGGCTATGTTTCAGCAGCATTCTCTCCTAACATTTTGCCTGCATCTGCAGCCACAGATTCAGGTGAAATGTTAGGACAGAGTTGCGCTGAAATGTAGCTGTTCAATCCAAAAAACTCATAGGAACCCAGTGGTTTTGGCCATGAAAGCCTGGACAACAACATTCAAAAGATTTTCTGTTCCTGGTTTGAAAGTGTAATTTCCTATTTATTTATGCAGTGCTACTTACTTACCATACTTTGAAAGTAGTTCTACTCGAGAAATTTTGTTTTTGTGGCTGTGTGTAGTACTATTATTTCCTTCAGACTATGCACTTGCTTTGTAATTTTCCTTAATGAAAATATACCATTTTAACCTTTTAATGTGCAAAGTTTTTGCAGTTTAGTAAATATTTTCCATGTGTTTATGATAGAACTAATGAGGAAATGACATTGATAACCCAGGAATAAAAATCATGTCACATAACCATTTGCCATTGGCTATGCTGTCATTCACAACCCAAGAACATGGTAGTCCCATCCAGGAAGAATAGAGATATGGGTGGCTGGAAGTAAACAGATCAGATATGATCTGGAGAATGGCATCCATAGAAATTGAAATCGTAATTCTATGAGGAGTCTAAAAAAGTGCTTTGAAATAGGCAAAGAAATTATACCTTTCTGAAGCATTTTTCACATGCATTTTTAAAAATCTGTCTTTAACTCTCTCTTTTCAAACTTCAGATTTCCCTTTCTTGATGAAGACGTCGTGTCCTTTCTTAACTCCCTCCCTGTTTGGGAGAAAGCAAACTTGGCTGTTCATCGAGGAGTTGGGGAGAAACTGCTTTTGCGCCTGGCCGCTATGGAGCTTGGCCTGACCGCCTCTTCCGTTCTACCAAAGAGAGCCATGCAGTTTGGCTCCAGGATTGCAAAGATGGAGAACAGAAACGAAAAGGCATCTGACAAATGCACAAGACTCCAGACACATTCAATAGAGTAGCTGCACCCAGGGCTGAAGGATACCTTTAAAAAAATGATTACATATTTGACATTTCCATTAAGGGCTGTTCCACACAGCCATATAACCCAGAATATCAAGGCAGGAAATCCCACAATATCTGATTGGAACTGGAAGATATGGTAGTGTGGACTTGGATAAACCAATTCAAAACAGGCATTGTGGGATTTCCAGCCTTGATATTCTAGGTTATATGTCTGTGTGGAAGGGTCTACGGTACTGGTTCTATGCAGCTATTTTGGGATAAACCACTTTCCCATGGAAAACAACCCAAAGAAAGGTAACAGCTAAGTTCCATTGATTTTCGTAAAACTCAGTCATTACTGTACAGTCTTTGCTATCTCAACTATGTTCAGAAATATATTTCTGTGGCATCTACAAAAACCAAAATAAATATGTAGATTTTAAGAATATTTCATTTTGTCTATTATTTGGTGGAATATTTTAGCTCCAGACCTTACAGGAAATGTTTGTATATATTTATGGTTTTATGTCCCGGCATTGAATGTTTGCCGTATATATGTTGTGCTCCGCCCTGAGTCCCCTGCAGGGTGAGAAGGGCGAAATAATAATAATGACCTCACAATCATGTTAAAAAACCAAGTATGGATTGTCGATGTTGCAATCCCAGGTGACAGCAGGATTGAAGAGAAACAACTGGAAAAGATGACACGATATGAGGATTTAAAGATCGAACTGCAAAGACTGTGGCACAAGCCAGTAAAGGTGGTCCCAGTGGTGATCGACCCACAGTGCAGTGCCTAAAGACCTTGGCCTGCACTTAAATACAATCGGTGCTGACAAGTAAGCTGCAAAAGGCCACCTTACTGGGATCTGCATGCATTATTCACCGATACATCGCACAGTCCTAGACACTTGGGAAGTGTCCGACTTGTGATCCAATACAACAGCCAGCTGAGTGTCTACAGTAGACTCATCTTGTGGTGTTTCTAATAATAATAATAATTAATAATAATTAATCACACAGTCCTAGACACTTGGGAAGTGTCCGACTTATGATCCAATGCAACAGCCAGCTGAGTGTCTACAGTGGACTCATCTTGTGGTGTTTCTAATAATAATAATAATTAATCACACAGTCCTAGACACTTGGGAAGTGTCCGACTTGTAATCCAATACAACAACCAGAAGAGTGTCTACTGTGGAGTCATCTTGTGGTGTTTCATATAATAATAATAATAATAATGATAATAATAATAATACAATTACATCACACAGTGCTAGATGCTTGGGAAGTGTTCGACTTGTGATTTTGTGATACGAAATCCAGCATATAGATCTTGTTTGCTGTGACATACTGTGTTTTTGTGTCAGTAAAATAATAATAATAATAATAATAATAATAATAATAATAATAATACTGTCACCAAAACAGACACTATCCCTTTTTTTAGATCCCACAGAAGAAATTGTATGTAGTTGAAAAATATTAACAGCTGTACCTTTAAGAATTGGTGATCAAGCTTCAGTGGAGACACCTTTTCCTCATGATAACTCTTCCAGGAGTGAATATCCCTTCCAAGGGGTAAATTTCTCTCGTCTTTCCCCTGTTCTTAACTTTGAGTCATTTGTAAATCAGATGTTTGTAATTTGAGGATGACTGTACATTGAAAATGAGTGTAGTGATCTTTGTGCCTTCTGGTTACCATAGTAAAGTCATCCTCAGTGGGTGTTTTGAATTAGGGTTTATTGTGAGAGCTGGACCTTAGGGAAGGCTGAGCGAAGGAAGATAGATGCTTTTGAGCTGTGGTGTTGGAGGAAAGTTCTGAGAGTGCCTTGGACTGCGAGAAGATCCAACCAGTCCATCCTCCAGGAAATAAAGCCCGACTGCTCACTGGAGGAAAGATACTAGAGACAAAGTTGAAGTACTTTGGTCACATCATGAGGAGACAGGAAAGCCTAGAGAAGACAATGATGCTGGGGAAAGTGGAAGGCAAAAGGAAGAGGGGCCGACCAAGGGCAAGATGGATGGATGGCATCCTTGAAGTGACTGGACTGACCTTGAAGGAGCTGGGGGTGGTGACGGCCGACAGGGAGCTCTGGCGTGGGCTGGTCCATGAGGTCACGAAGAGTCGGAGACGACTGAACGAATGAACAACAACAAAGTGTCATGCAGTTTCCTGGGATGGGGCCTGTCTCCCGTGTATCGCAGCAGCCATCTTTTCCCGTCTCTTTCTCCCTCACAGTTGGCCTTCCATATTGTTCCGCGGTTCCCATGGCAGCCCCATCCCAGTCGGCCCCTTCTCCCACCGTAGGTTCTTGGCCACATGGCAGCCGAGGGACACAAAGGGTGCCAGGCCAAGGCTTGGGGAGGAAGAAGAGGAGCCACACAGCTGCCATCCATGGCACAATACAGTGCCTGGATGTAGAAGAGCCTCTCAAGTGGTACTGTGGGAGTCTCGCTCTCATCTTCTCTCTCGATCTGCCTAGTAGTTTGTTCATTATCCAAAACACATCCTCATTTAGGATGGATAGTCAAGCCACAGAGAATGTACTATTTAGAAGCATTACACTATGTAACAAAATTTGAAGAAAAAAATCTGTTCCTGGTTTGAAAGTGTTATTTCCTGTTTCATTGTGCGGTCCTTACTTTGAAAGTAGTTGTTCTACTCCAGAAACTTTGTTTTTGTGGCTGCCACAAATTAGGTTGAATTGTTGAGACTCTATAACAGGGGTCCTCAAACTTTTTAAACAGAGGGCCAGGTCTCAGTCCCTCAAACTGTTGGAGGGCTGGATTATAATTTGAAAAAACATGAATGAATTCCTATGCACACTGCACATATCTTATTTGTAGTGCAAAAAACACTTTAAAACAATACAATAATTAAAATGAAGAACAATTTTAACAAATATAAACTTATTAGTATTTCAATGGGAAGTGTGGGCCTGCTTTTGGCTGATGAGATAGGATTGTTGTTGATGTTGTTGTTGTTGTGTGCTTTCAAGTCGTTTCAGACTTAGGTTGACCCTAAGCGAGGGCCGGTAAATGGCCTTGGAGGGCCGTATTCAGCTCTCGGGCCTTAGTTTGAGGTTGCCTGCTCAAATGACTACAAATGACTCATAGTTAAGAACGGGGTGAGACAACAAGAAGTGAGAGAAATCTATGCCTCAGAAGGAGAACCCACTCCTGAAAGAGTTATCATGGGGAATAGGGTGTCTCAACTGAAGCTTTGGCACTGATCCTTGTTTCCGCAACAAGCCACATTTAACCAAAATCCAATTTGTGAGGTAAAATCTTCTGAACAGGGGCACAGACAGCATAATTAAACATCACAAGGGTGTTAACCATTCCCTATGCTACCCAAAACTTTTATATATATGCCTGGAGTTACTCTTAAAAATGTACCTGTTATGATTTACATATTAGCTTTGTGTATTAGCTTGTTGTAGAATTACAGTTCTCCAGCAAAGGATCACCGCCTTGTCGGGGCGCTGGAGCTTGAGCACCTCAATGATGTCATGAGCGAAACCGTGAAGGGCCACCCAAGACGGGACGGTTGTGGCAAAGAGGTCAGACCAAGCGTGATCCCTGGGGAAGGCAATGGCAAACCACTCCAGTATCCTTGCCAAGAAAACTAAATGGACCAGTACAACCAGAGATATGTCGGTATGCCATTGGAAGATGGGACTCCCAGGTCGGAAGTTGGCCAAAATGCTACTGGGGAGGAGCAGAGGATAAGTTCAACTAGCCCCAGATGTGATGACGCAGCTAGCTCAAAGCCGAAAGGAAGGCTAGCGGCCGACGGTACTGGAGGTGAACGACGAATCCGATGCTCTAAAGATCAACACACCATAGGAACCTGGAATGTAAGATCTATGAGCCAGGGCAAATTGGATGTTGTTATTGTTGAGATGTCAAGACTAAAGATAGACATTCTGGGGGTCAGCGAACTGAAATGGACTGGAATGGGCCACTTCACATCAGATGACCACCAGATCTACTACTGCGGACAAGAGGAACATCGAAGAAATGGAGTAGCCTTCATAATTAATAAGAAATTCGCTAAAGCGGTGCTTGGATACAACCCAAAAAATGACAGAATGATCTCAATTCGAGTGCAAGGAAAGCCTTTCAACATTACAGTGATCCAAATATATGCCCCAACCACAGCTGCTGAAGAAGAAGAAGTAGATCAGTTCTATGAGGATCTGCAGGACCTACTGGATAATACACCAAAAAGAGACATTATTTTCATTACAGGAGACTGGAATGCCAAGGTGGGAAGTCAAATGACAACTGGGATCACAGGCAAGCATGGTCTGGGAGAACAAAATGAAGCGGGACTCAGGCTGATAGAATTTTGCCAGGAAAACTCGCTGTGTATAACGAATACTCTCTTCCAACAACCTAAAAGACGGCTTTATACATGGACCTCACCAGATGGTCAACACCGAAATCAGATTGACTACATCCTTTGCAGCCAAAGGTGGCGGACATCCATCCAGTCGGTGAAAACAAGACCTGGGGCTGACTGTAGCTCAGATCACGAACTTCTTATTGCCCAATTTAGAATAAAACTAAAGAGATCAGGGTAAATACACAGACCAGTTAGATATGATCTCACTAACATTCCTAGCGAATATACAGTGGAAGTGAAGAACAGATTTGAAGGACTAGATTTAGTAAACAGAGTCCCAGAAGAACTATGGACAGAAGTCCGCGACATTGTTCAGGAGCGGCAACAAAGTACGTTCCAAAAAAAAAGAAAACCAAGAAGGCAAAATGGTTGTCTGCTGAGACACTGGAAGTAGCCCAAGAAAGGAGGAAAGCAAAAGGAAACAGTGAAAAGGGGAGATATGCCCAGTTAAATGCGCAATTCCAGAGGTTAGCCAGAAGAGATAAGGAACTATTTTTAAATAAGCAATGCATGGAAGTGGAAGAAGACAACAGAATAGGAAGGACAAGAGACCTCTTCCAGAAAATTAGAAACATTGGAGGTAAATTTCAGGCAAAAATTGGTATGATAAGAAACAACGATGGCAGGGACCTAACAGAAGCTGAAGAGATCAAGAGAAGGTGGCGAGACTATACAGAAGATCTGTATAGGAAGGATAATAATATTGAGGATAGTTATGACGGTGTGGTGAATGAATTAGAACCAGACATCCTGAGGAGTGAAGTTGAATGGGCCTTAAGAAGCATTGCTAACAACAAGGCAGCAGGAGACGACGGGATCCCAGCTGAACTGTTTAAAATCTTAAAAGATGATGCTGTCAAGGTGATGCATGCCATTTGCCAGCAAATATGGAAAACACAAGAATGGCCATCAGACTGGAAAAAATCAACTTATATCCCCATACCAAAAAAGGAAATGCGAAAGACTGCTCAAACTTCCGTACAGTGGCCCTTATTTCTCATGCCAGTAAGGTAATGCTCAAGATCCTGCAAGGAAGACTCCAGCAATACATGGAGCGAGAGTTGCCAGATGTTCAAGCTGGGTTTAGAAAGGCAGAGGAACGAGAGACCAGATTGCCAATATCCGCTGGATAATGGAGAAAGGCAGGGAGTTTCAGAAAAACATCTACTTCTGCTTCATTGACTATTCTAAAGCCTTTGACTGTGTGGATCATAATAAATTGTGGCAAGTTATGGTGGGATGCGCATGCCACCTTGCCTCTTTCCTAAGAAATCTGTAGAACGACCAAGTAGCAACAGACAGGACTGACCATGGAACAACAGACTGGTTCAATATTGGAAAAGGCATATGGATTATTAGCATCTCTCACCCAACCTTTTTAACTTGTATGCAGAACACATCATGCGATGTGCGGGGCTTGATGAATGCAAAGCTGGGGTGAAAATTGCTGGAAGAAACATTAGCAACCCTACATATGCAGATGACACCACTCTGGTGGCCGAAAGCGAGGAGGAGCTGAGGAGCCTTCTAATCAAGGTGAAAGAAGAAAGCGCAAAAGCCGGGTTGCAGCTAAACGTCAAAAAAACCAAGATTATGGCAGCAAGAATGATTGACAACTGGAAAATAGAGGGAGAAACCGTGGAGGCCGTGACAGACCTTGTATTTCTAGGTGCAAAGATTACTGCAGATGCAGACTGTAGCCAGGAAATCAGAAGACGCTTACTTCTTGGGAGGAGAGCAATGTCCAATCTCGATAAAATAGTGAAGAGTAGAGACATCAGACTGGCAACAAAGATCCGCATAGTCAAAGCAATGGTATTCCCTGTAGTCACCTACGGATGTGAGAGCTGGACCATAGGGAAGGCTGAGCGAAGGAAGATAGATGCTTTTGAACTGTGGTGTTGGAGGAAAGTGCTGAGAGTGCCTTGGACAGCGAGAAGATCCAACCAGTCCATACTTCAGGAAATAAAGCCTGACTGCCTCACTTGAGGGAAAGATACTAGAGACAAAGTTGAAGTACTTTGGCCACATCATGAGGAGACAGGAAAGCCTAGAGAAGACAATTATGCTGGGGAAAGTGGAAGGCAAAAGGAAGAGGGGCCGACCAAGGGCAAGATGGATGGATGGCATCCTTGAAGTGACTGGACTGACCTTGAGGGATCTGGGGGTGGTAACGGCCGACAGGGAGCTCTGGCGTGGGCTGGTCCATGAGGTCACGAAGAGTCGGAGACGACTGAACGAATGAACAACAACAACATGATTTACATACAAATTCAACTTACCTACAGAACCTAACAAAATGAAGTTCAACAGTGACAAATGCAAGATACTCCACTTACGCAGAAAAAAATGAAATGCAAAGATACAGAATGGGGGACAATGCCTGGCTCGAGAGCAGTACGTGTGAAAAAGACCTTGGAGTCCTTGTGGACAAAAAGTTAAACATGAGCCAACAATGTCCTGTGGTGGCAAAAAAAGCCAATTTTGGCCTACATCAATAGGAGACTAGTGTCTAGATCCAGGGAAGTCATGCTACCCCTCTATTCTGCTTTGGTTAGACCACACCTGGAATATTGTGTCCAATTCTGGGCACCACAATTGATGGGAGATGTTGATAAGCTGGAATGTGTCCAGAGGAGGGAGACTGAAATGATCAAGGGTCTGGAGAACATTGGCATGATTCTTGTGTATAGACATGACCTTTTTAATAGGATACTGAGAGCAAGCAGTTCACAAATAATTCATAAACCTAAGAAACTGCCCATTCTTTATCACCTCAGTTCCTCAGATAATCATACTCTCTCTGTTCCCAGAAATTCTGTTAAATACCAATCCTCTGTAACTTGGGGATTGTCTGTATCAGTATATCTTCCAACAAATAATATGCTTAACTATCTATCTATTTCTCTAACTATATTTAGAAGAGCAGCTTGGAAACAACTGAAGAATGCTAAGACCGGTGAAAAAGCTAGCACCTAGGAATGAGCAGGCGGACGAGGCTGCCTATTTAGCCCAGTTAGCAGCACAAAGAAATGCCACCGCCTTCTTTGAGAAGTATGAGCGAAGTGAGCTTCAGGAACTGCTCACCATGTCATTCTGCAGCTGGTTGGCATCCAAAGATGACTTGCGCCGTCCCTTAGAACTTCCCGGTGGAATTATCGAGGAGATGAAATCCTTCGCTGTCCACACTGTTATTTTGCTGGCCCCAGTAGAGCCTGGGCTCGCTCTGGACTGTAAGGAAATCCACCAGATGATCAGGGAGTTAGCCGTTGGGATTTACTGTCTGAATCAAATCCCTTCGATCAGTCTGGATGCCAATTACGACCAGAGCACATCGTGCTCAATTGCTCCAGCGTACTTTGACACAAGGATAGGGCAAATGTTAATCTCTGTTGACTACATGCTGAAAGCCTTGTGGCATGGGGCATACATGCCCAAAGAAAAACGGGTCCGATTCTCTGAACTCTGGCGTTCTAGCATGGACATTGATGCAGATGGCACCCCTCAAACAGAAAAAACAGCATGTGCAGAGTTCTGTCAAGCTGGTAAGAAGAATATGTAATGTTCACTGGTTTGTGACAAGCACACCACATTTGTAACTTGTTATATATACAATATGCTTACATGCAAGGGGAAGGAAAACTTCCTATAGAGTAACATACATGACCACTGCATGTATGGGAAAGCCTCTCCAATTATAAATTTTAGGCATGTAACAATGATGCTGGGGGGAAAGGAAGGAAAAAGGAAGAGGGGCCAACCAAGGGCAAGATGGATGGATGGCATCCTTGAAGAAACTGGATTAACCTTGAAGGAGCTGGGGGTGGTGACGGCTGACAGGGAGCTCTAGTGTGGGCTGGTCCATGAGGTCACGAAGAGTCAGAAACAACTGAATGAATGAACAACAAAAACAACAAATGTTGTTGTTGTTGTTTGCTTTCAAGACATCTCTAACTTATGGTGACCCAAAGACGAACCTATCATTGGCAAATTTGTTCAGAGGAGAGTTTCCTTTGCTTTCATCTGAGACTAAGGCCCCTTCTACACTGCCATACAAAATCCAGATTATCTGCTTTGAACTGGATTATATGGCAGTGTAGACTCATATAATCCACTTCAAAGCAGATAATGTGGATTATCTGATTGGATACTCTGGAATTTATGACAGTGCAGAAGGGGCCTAAGAGGGTATGACTTGCCGAAGGTCATCTGGTAGTTTCACGGCTGAGTGAGATTCAAACCCCAGTCTCCAGAGTCATAGCTCAAATGGCTACATTCCGGTGGCTCTTGACATATACAAACACAAAACAGAAATAGATAGACCAGTATCATATCCCACTCTGGTTTGAATCCAAAGGAGTATTTGTAAGGGTTAGGGTTAGGGTTTAACTGGGGTTAGGCTTAGGGTTTAAATGGAAGATGATTTAATATTCAAGTGTCAATCCAACCTAACTATTTGCAGACAATACATGTTAACACTCAGCAGCTCCAGATGCTGAAATACATATTATTTATTATTTATTATTTCATTCTATTTATTCTTTTTTTTTTAAAGACATGTAAAATTAAAAGATCTAAGCAGATGATGTGAACGACCACAGTCTCAGAACCCAGGAAGGCTTTTCCCATCCACATTCTGGTCCTAATGCAATGACTATTATTCTCATTGTTCCCAGCCCACAGGGCCACAGTGGCTGGAGATAGTAAGATTTGTAGTCCTACAGATCTGGAGAGCACTGAATGTTTGAAACCTGGCCAATAAAATTACTAAACCTGTGCATTGTGAGCCTTAGCACTTTCAAATGCAGTTCTCTGAACTTAATTGGTATTACATTATTGCACACCATTTACATTTGTTTCAGTTCTAAAGGTATGTCCATTTATGGCAGAATGTATTTATATTTTGACAGTACGACCCACTTATCCACAGATTCAACATCCACGGTTTCACTACCTCGAACTCCAAAATATCCCCTTCCTCCAGACTGTTCCTGGCCTCTCTAGGTCCTCCAATGTGATTCTACTTCCAGCCCAAGTTTAATCAAAATGTAAGGTCTGCTATTATCCATAGTTTCAAGTATCCACGTAGGGCCTTGGAATGTATTCCTATGGATACGGGGTCGTACTGCATGTGTTCTTTTACATTTTAAAGAGCCTTTATATACATGTGTGTCATACAGGCCTAGTTGATATTTCAAAGGAGCCAGACTTTCGAGGAATCTATGATGAAAATATGAATGAAGATCCAACTTATGATCCTAACAGCACAGAGGAGAAAAAAATCTTTATGCAGTTTGTGGACTACATGCTCCTTAAAATGACATTTGGTAGTACTGAGATCCAGCAACATGAAAATTTGTTCTTGTTTGATGGTACATACAACATCACTAATGCCATAAGAATGACTGAGGACCGTCTTGATACCGCTTCATACCAGAGGTTGCAACAGCGGCTAATTCTTCAACAAAAACTTGTGAGGAAACACTTAGAGAATAAACCAGAAATCCGGAAGAACATCGCATACCTAAAGCTCCTAAGCTTTCTTATTCCATTCATTATCAGTTTAAAAAGAAAAAACAAAGTTCCAAATTTAAGTCGGCTTCTTCAGCCTTATTCAGGTAGGATTATATTTTCTCTTTATATTGTCAGATCTCTCTTAATCTGTCAACAAGGTCCAATATGTATGAGTTTAGTATTAAAATATTTGTTTTTATGTGTAACAACAGTCATCTCATTCAGCTGGTGAACTTATACAATTGTAAAATGCAGGTGGATGGGGTCCATACCATAAGACAGGAAATGTCTTGTGGCATCTGTGACGGCATAGAGCCTGCTAGCCAGCCATCTTACTTTCCTACAGCCTCATCATCTGGGAGAAAAGAGGGAGCAGTGGGGCGAATCTGTCACTCTAAGAGCAGCTCCCTCTACGTTTTCCCCACCACGGGAAAGTGTTGACCTCCTGTGCTGGCTCCCGCATTAGGGGGAGTGTCGGGCAATGCTTTCACCCAGGTGACATGTGATGTCCCTCCTCTAGATGGGGTGAAAGCATAATAGGATGCTGAATTTACCCCATCTGATGAAGTTCCCAGATATGTATGCAGTCAGAGCAACTTCTTCTTTAACTGAGCTGAAGGAAATTTATATTGTATTGTCGAAGGCTTTCATGGCTGGAATCACTAGGTTCTTGTGGGTTTTTTTTGGGCTATAGGGCCATGTTCTAGAGGCATTTTCTCCTGACGTCAGGAGAAATGCCTCTAGAACATGGCCCTATAGCCCGAAAAAAACCTACAAGAACCTGGAAATTTATATTTATTCCTAAGGAACTAGCTTTCCCTTCAAGGTGGTCTTAGTGACCTTCCAACTGTCTTACAATCTTATCACATGGGGGCAGGGTGTGATGTCTTGTCAGCAAGCATGGAGAAATGAAAGATGCAGCAATGCTTTTCCCATCACAACCTGGGCAGAAGAGAAGTCTCCGGGTTTAGAGAGAAGTGTCCTAGGATGCTTCCATGTTGGTTAGGCCTCTGCCGGAAGTCGAGGGACGTCATGTGATGGGCCGCGTGCCAATCCGTCCCTCAACTGAGGCAGGAGCATCCTAAAATGCTAAAATTTCCCATGTGATGAGGTCCTTAGTCTGGCAAGGACAGCCTTGGCTAACCTTCCGCCATTCTATTTATTTATTTATTTATTTCGAGGTTTTATATACCGACCCTCTCACCTTCAAAGAGGGATTCGGACCGGTTCACAACATGTGTTAACATACAAAAAATATACAATAACAACACAATGCCACTTCATTACACGATTAAAATATCAGCACCATACACATTAAAACATTATCATCCCAGTTAAAAGAGCCAAATCGTCCGACACCATCACAATCCCATTCATCATCCTCCTTTCATGTGGGCAAAGAATTAAATCAGTTGTCAAATGCCGCGTTCCACAACCAGGTCTTTGTTAGTTTCCTGAACGTCATGAGGGAGGGGGCAGTTCTGATCTCTAATGGCAGGGAGTTCCAAAGTCGAGGGGCCACCATCGAGAAGGCCCTGTCCCTCGTCCCCACCAGCCGTGCTTGTGCAGGCGGAGGGACCGAGAGCAGGGCCCCTCCAGACGATCTTAGTGGTCTTGATGGTTCGTAGGGGAGAATACTTTCTTGTTGCTTTTCAAATGTCATGATTTCCTTTTCTTCCTCTCCTGGTTTGGCAAGGACAGTCCTAGTTTATCCTCTTCATCCCTAAAATGCTCCCTAAAATGCTCTAGTTTTCTCCCCCCCTTCATTCTGTTGCTGTAAACTGACTTTACACTCTTTTGATCTAACTCTGATGTTGCTCAGCCACACGTGTCCCATTGTTCCTCAAAGGGCATGCAAAAGGGACAGCCTGGTAGCTGGCTCTGTCCGCTCTTTGCTTTCCCTTTTGCGAAAATGGAGGGTTGGCTAAAACCTTTGAGAGCTTTTGTTTGAAGACATCTAGAGCACTGTTTAAGAAACAAAGCCCAAAAAATTGGCTCCCCAGGCCTCTTGCCTCTCTCAACACAAGAAGTCAAGAGACACATAGCCTAATCTGATAAGGAGTGGAGTTTAGTGGAAATCCCCCCCCCCCCCAACACACACACACAGAGGCCTTTCACAAGCTGAAGGAACATACTTCATAGGCCTAAAATCATGCAAATTCTCAAGAAAACTGACTAGAACATGAGATCCCCCCTCCCAATCGGAGGGAGGACTACCTATGGTTTTGAGGGATCCTAAATAATAGCCTATTCAGTTTAATATAAGTATATACAAAAAGACATTCAGTAGTTCTTTTTTGTTATAATAGTGATTTGCAACACTATTTTTCATGTTTGTTGAAAAAGATGCATATCTTGATTCTGAGTAAATAATAATGGCTGGTGTTCAGAATTACAATTAGATATTCATAAGGACTTGTAATTGCTCTGGGTAATTCTATGTAGTTGAAAACCATCTTAACAATCAGCACTATTCAGTCCACCTTAAAAGCCAGTTGCTGGGAGGGGAAAGGAGATCCATTCATCTTCCAATTGTGGTGTAGAAAGAATGACCTTTCCTTTCCCTGTACCTCCAGCAAATAAGCCTGTAGCCACCAGAAGCAGGACCCCATCACAAGTCCTTGTCACAGTTTTACTTGTTGGAGAGAGGAGGGTGGAAACATCATCCTTTTTATGTGTGTGTCCAACAGCAGCTTTAGCTTAAAGTGAAATCAAGGAGATGAGTAACTAGTTCACTTGGACAGCAACACTAACCTTCTGCTCAAAATCCTGTTTGTCCTTTGTGCAGATGACAAAGTTAAAACTGAACGTGAGTTGCCTCCACTTTTGCTTGGACCAGATTTTAAGTGCCAGCATTTTATGTATCCCCAAAATCGTTATTTCCATCTCCATGGTGGCATAGAATTTGATATTGGTAGTCCTTCAGTTGGAAGCGTCTCAGAGGAGATTAAGGTACTTTGAAATAGTTTAGTCCGTGGCTTGTGAGTTTTCTTAGGTCCAGCTTTGCCTTAGGGGCTGAAATAGCAACAGTGGCTTCCAGCATTTCATCTATCATATCATATCATGCCTCTCTTACACAGAAATGTCAACATTTCTGATTATGGGTTTGGATGATGAGTTTGGATTGCTTTTTATTAAAGTTTTAGCAGTTTAATCAACTTTTCTCATGTTTTAATGATAGAAGCAATTAGGAAATTATATTTATAACCCAGGAATAAATATCATGTTACATAGTGTTATGGAATGTCTTCCCCAAGGAGCCTCATCTGGTGACAATATTACTTTCTTTTATGTATCAGGAACCACAGACACTTTTTGAAAAGATATTTTACATAGTTCTAAGCATGTTGCACTATTTAAACATAGTGGTTTTCATCTACTGATATTCACTCCTTAAAGACTCTTTCTAAAAAAAAGCAACATGGATAGGAAGACTAATTTTGTTGTTTCTCTTTCCATCTTCCAACTTTTACCCAGCCCTCTTCCAAGTTATCATGAAAAGTCTGCCAACCCTCAAGAGGAGATTAGAGTTGGGTGTGGGAAATTCTATCAGCAAAGGAATACAATTGCTGCACTCATAGATGTAGACCAGGGGTCCTCAAACTAAGGCCTGGGGGCCGGATGCGGCCCTCCAAGGTCCTTTACCCAGCCCTCACTCAGGGTCAACCTAAGCCTGAAACGACTTGAAAGCACACAACAACAACCTTATCTAATCAGCCAAAAGCAGGTCCACACTTTCCACTGTAATACTAATAAGTTTATATTTGTTAAAATTGTTCTTCATTTTATTGTTTTTAAGTGTTTTTCGCACTACAAATAAGATACGTGTAGTGTGCTTAGGAATTCATTCATGCTTTTTTCAAATTATAATCTGACCTTTCAACAGTTTGCAGGATTGTGACCTGGCCCTCCGTTTCAAAGGTTGAGGACCCCTGATGTAGACATAGATTATACACATGGGTATATTTATTTAATTAATTTTATTGAAATCATTATAACCCTATCTTCTAGGATCACAGACTGGCATCCAAGTAAAATGAATTAAATGCTCAAGAACAATTTAAAATATTACTGCAATAAAATAATTCGATATAAACATATATTGAAAAAAATATAGACTAAAATGATTTCCCGTAAACTAATGCCCAGTTTTGGTGCTGCTAACACAAATATTTCATAAGCCCAGGTCTGCCTCATTACTTTAGCATTTTTGTTACAGGCTGCCTATGATGAAATTCATGAATGTGCTAAAAACCATCTGACTCAGTTGCTTGACCCCGATGCACCCTATCGAGAGCATTACTCAATACCCATAATGGATTTTGGTGGCAAGAGGTAAAGACCATGAAGTTGCTTTCTAGTAATGGTTCACTAGAACCAAGACAGGTAGATAGATAGATAGATTATCTATATAAATAAAAATGTAATCTTCGTTTGTGGGATTAGCATAACTCAAAAACCACTGGACGAATTGACACCAAATTTGGACAGAGTTTGATGTCTGACCAACACAGCTGAGGTTAGCTTCAAACTGCATTAAAAACCCAGTGAAGATGGGCCTTATAACACCGTATTTCAAAATATTCTGATTTGTGTTGTGTGTGTTTTCTCCTTCCCCTTCTGCATATTCCAGCTATTACGTAATCGGCATTGAACTTGAACCTTTTTATCTGCTTTTTAAGAGCCAGTGGTGGGGCGCCATCAATGAAGTAATAAGCATGCTTAAACCCAAAAGGCTACCATTAATTGATACACAAGCAATGGAATTATTTAAGCGAAGATTTGGTTACAAAAAAGCAATTAAGTGTAAGGTACGTGTTCAGTTTGGGATGGAAAGTTTAGCACGGCTCTGATGTACATTTACATTCATATTGCTGTGACAGCTAATTCAGAGCAAATGTGTTCATCTGGAATTCAATATTATATTCCAGATGCCTCTTCTGGAAAAAAAAATCCACCCTTATGTTCTGATTGTTCATGGATCTCATTTCTATTGCCTTGCCTTTTGTGAGCTGGTTCAACGGTACATGTTTACCACTTTATTACTCTTTCTGTAATATCTGCATCAAACTTGTAGCTGATTATATGAAAGAAGTGACAGTTAGAGTAGCCTTGCACTGGGAATAATGTTTGGTGATTAGATGTGTAAAAGGATGGAGCTTATGTGACCCCAACAGTTACATAGCAGGGGGAGTTGGAACAGTCCTGGTTTGCCTGCTGGAATTATTAACACTAAAAGAGTTTTTGTGGCGGAATGAAAATCACGTTTTACTAGTCCACACATTGTCTTGCCAGAGAAAGAAAATATGCCATGCAGATGATCAGTAAAGTACACGGAGTTTACTCTTTGTAATGTAGAGCAACATATATACAGTCGTTTGAACAGCTGCATTGACTCACAAGATATCCTTTGAGAGAAATTCAAATAGTCTTTAAGTGTCCATGTGGAATAGCTTCTTCCAGCAGCTCATGAAGCAAGAACTGTCTCTCTCTTGAAGCTCCTACACAGCTAAAGCCTAAATATGTAACTGTTGCCAAAACTCCCAGGCTCAGCTAGGTTCTTGGCCATAGCCCAACCAATCAGCTTCGTGCTTTCCAGTTTTCACTTAATACACTCACCAACTGATTTTTTTATATGCTCTAACAGTCTTCTCCTCTTTTGTATCTTGGTTTTTAATTTGAACTTTATTTTGTCAATGACAAAATAAAATTAAACACATTTTTTCTGATAAGTATAGATAATGTAACTGGAATTTTGTACATTTTATTATTGTAGCTTTAATTTTCCTCCGATGTGTCTTGTACATGATGTGGTTTTAGAGTCTGGCATATGGCATGAAAGCTGCTGCAGAAAGAGGGCTGGCTGCCATCTTCCTTTCCTTTTGTCGCAAGACCTCCATCTCTAGTCTCACTACAACAGATGAACATGGTTATTCACTGATCCATCATGCTGCTATCTACAACTGGGTGTCAATTATATGTCAGGTGGTTAAATCACCCTTAGCTATGAATCAGAGGCGAACCATAACAGTCACCCAAGGTAAGATATATTATCTTCTAAGCAGGGCCAACCCTACCACAATGCAGAGTGTGGCAGTTGGTTCAGGCAATATATCCTGAGATGTGAGGAGAGGACAAAAGCTCTTGCCTTACACTGCCATGTGTAGGGAAAAATACAATAACACTATGTAACAAAATTTGAAACATTTTCTGTTCCTGATTTAAAAGTATTATTTCCTGTTTAATTGTGTGGTACATACCTTGAAAGTAGTTGTTATACTCCAGAAACTTCATTTTTGTGACTGCTACAAACTGCAGGATGTCCCACAAAAGCAACGTTTTTGAAGTTTAATAAACTTTCCCCACGCTTTTCTGAAATAACCAATTAGAGAATGACATTTATAACCCAGGAACAAAAATCAGGCCATTTCCATCCTTTTCCTTCAACGTACTTGAGATACTGCATTGCTCTTTCTAAAGCTTTCTCAGTTAGTAGGCACCTCTTCAGTAGATTTTGGGGAAAGGGTGACCTTTGAGATCATAAACTTTTGGAAAACAGGAATCTCCAAAGCCTTTTGGAAGTGAGACCTTTTTCATTGCTTCTTCTGGGTTTCCTGAAAAGAAGAAATAGGGCTAAACACTATCTGCATGCCATGAGCTCTCCATGCTAAATGTCCTCACAACCTCTTCCAGTGATTTCCTATATTATTAATACCGTCCTTGTTGTTGTTATTCAGATCTAGTTTAACATTAACATGACATACAACAACATTTAAAAACACATAAATAAACAAGATACAAAACTTAAAATAAAATTTAAAAATCAAAAAATTAAAACCAGATCGCAATGTATGTCATAAAAACACACACACGCCCCTCATTCTAGGAAACAGCAACCTTCTGTTAAAAGCCACTCCTAGGTGATTTAAACAATAGTTTTTCACAAAAAACTCAGAAAAATGTGTACTTTTGCACAGAATAATATCCCAAGATGAATGCGAGTACTGCAGGAGAATTGTGCAGAACTATTATCTTCTCTGAAGTGGAAAGATAACTGTGGAAATAATTCATTCTCACTTGTAAATTGTCAAATATTAACATCCCTAAATTAAGCATATATGAGGCTTCAAATGCTTGGGTGGAATTTGACGGAAGTAAGCTTCCATTGGCCAGAATGTCTACATGCAATAACACAAAGAATTCTCAAGCAAGACTGTAATTCTTTTGAATTTTTTGAGTTTTCAAACTTTATTGAATAAAAAAACATGTTTAACAGAAAATATGTTAACATTTGGATTAAGGGACATGTTTCATATTAATATTGTAATTCGCTTTATAAAGAAAGGCAAAGCTACAATACGTTATAGTTTCCACTTGGACATACCATGACCTGTTAGATATAGCTATGTACATTCAGAAGAGACCAAAACTGTGGTGAAAAATGGAAAATTATAAGACTGTAATTCTTATTGTTCTTTTGTTTTCAGTAAATGTGTATGATTTATAAATACATTGCCTAAATTATTAAGTATTTTCTTGTTGCGGGTATTATTTGGGCAAATAGGCTAATATGTACTACAAAAGAGAGAGAGAGAAAGAAAAAGATGTAGTAACCAAAAACATAACTATTACTATATTTTGTTTTAGGGAAACATGTCCAGAAACCCGATGCAAAACGTAAGTCATAAATCATTTGTCATCCTCTTTAAGTTTTTTTAATACACCGTGTGCAATTAAATTGAACTAGTTTTAAGAATAGCAAGAGTTGAAATTTTAAAGGCATTGCCTACAAATTTCCTACAAATGTAAATAAAGTTACTCATTCAGAATACATTGATCAGATGGGAACTTTGGCCTTGCTTTCCATGGTTTAAAAAGCAAGCCCATTATGTGACCAAAAATAAATAAATCACATTAATTAAGCATATTTTTCCCAAAGAGCAGTCAGTGAGCAAAATACATATAGAGATATATTGATAGTTTTTGTGTGGAAAAAGCTGAAAATTCTCTTAGTTAAGAATACTATCTGGTAAAAGTGTACAAATGCTCATTTTTAATTTGTTTGGGGGGGGTGTGGTTTTGGATCAAATTTGTTAGATTGCCTATACAAATCAATATTAGAAACATGCAGAAACGATGGGGGGGGGGATTTAGAAATTGAAACACCAAATATTTTTGTTAAGATTTTGTAACATTTGGATGCCTCCCAAGGTTTAATTTTCAGTATAAGCATTAAGCAACTTTGGTAAAACTAAGAGAACATAAAGTGTTTTAAAAACCAATCTTTTTTCTTTGGCCCAATCAGCATAAGGAAGGCACTGGGGATGGGACTAGCAAAGGAGACTGAGAACACAGCATTYTGAGAAATGTAGTTTGGGAAGGCCAGGCTCCCTGTGGCAGAGAAWGCAAAAGGCCTGCCCTAAACTACATTTCCCAGAATGCAGTGCTCAGCATCAGAACCAGCCATGTAGARTCAGTCTAATTATAATAAATAAAATGATTGAATCTGCAAAGAGGACTAAAGTAGATATAAGTATAAACAATAGCATTAAGCAACTTTGGTAAAGCCAAAAGAACATCAAATTACCTATCYGAATGCATCTCTCCCTATGAATCATCGTGGAGATTAAGATCGTCCGGGGAGGCCCTGCTTTCCRTCCTGCCATTGTCACAGGTGCGATTGGTGGGGACGAGAGACAGGGCCTTCTCGGTGATTGCTCCCCGGCTATGGAGCTCCCTTCCTGGTGAGATCAGGTCGGCCCCCTCTCTCCTGTCCTTTAGAAGTATGGTAAAAGCTTGGCTGTGGGACCAAGCTTTCGGGACAGGGCAATAAAGCAGCTATAGGAAAGATTACCAGGCCAATTAGATTTAACGCTGATGACTAGGATGGTTTTAAATGGTGTATTTTAATATTGAGATAAATGTTTTTAATGTTTATGTATGTGTATATGAATTTGTGTCCCGGTATTGAATGTTTGCCGTATATATGCTGTGCTCCACCACGAGTCCCCTTCGGGGTGAGAAGGGTGGAATATAAATGTTTTAAATAAATAAATCAAGTGTTTAAAAACCAATCCTTTTTTCCTTTGGCTCAATCACCATAAGCAAATACACTGAAGTAGCCAGCCATTTAGAGTAAGTCTAATAATAAATAAATAAAATGATTGAATCTGCAAAGAGGACTAAAGTAAGTAAGTAATAGTATAAATCTGTGCTAACTTGAAGTTCTATGGTTAATTGTGTGTCATATAGACACACTGTTAGACAGACATTCAATGGGATTGCTGTTGTGGCTTTTGGGGGGGATAAATGTTTTTGTCTAAACTTTTAAAAATCACCAAAAATCTGTAGATGTGTGAATATTTCTGAAATATCTGGGGATTTATGTCCTGGTTATCTTGTGCATTGTATATAAAATTCAAGTACATCACTCTTGTAGTTTTTTTAAAAAAAGTTGTTTATAAAAACTTTGAAAATTCCCCAAAACTCCATGGATAACTAAAATGTTCTGAAATTTGGTCAGCTAACAGTGGTAGATGTGTTCTACTAATGTAGCAAGTTTCATTCCAATAGCTTTAAAATGAGGGAGAAAGGAGCCCCTGGTATTTTCTCAATTATAGTAATTGAATTATGTGCATGTGCAATTACTGTAATGAAATAGTAACAAAAATTTCAATACTCTTGTTATAGTAAAAAAATTTCACTAAGTATACTTTAGAAATACTTTAGAAACGAAGTATATAGACTCAAGGGGCATTACACTCACTTATTACTAAAGGTTATTTTGCCTATATACTGCAGTTTCCACAGGGATGACAGAGGAGTACAATAGCAAAGTTTATTTGACAGCTAAGACATGCAGTTGAGTTAAACAGCTACTTCCCTTTCCAAAGCCTGTTTGCAACCACAAAAATAGGCACATTGAAAAATGGTCCCTAGGTAACAAGAAAGTTGTACAGTTTAGGCTAAATAGCAAGAATGTATGTGAGCCGCACAATAGGATTACAATGCTAGTAAAATGATGCGTCTTTCTTATAATATGTGTCACACTGATTGAAATCTCATATTATATATTTGGTCTATAAATGAATCTATTTAGTTTTAGGAATCATTGGAAAAGATCCCACCCACGAGGAAACCGGTAAGTTTTAAATGAAACCAACATTGCCTTAGTTAAACAGGAACAATTCAATTATTGGAATTGCAGCGTGTGTGTTTGTGTGTTTAGTGAAGATATCTGCAGAACCATAAATATATGCTTCATCAGTATCTATGGAAGGTCAAGGCATTGCAAATGTGTGGAGGTGTGTATTGAGACTGAAAAATGTAATAATATATTTGGAACATGACTTTGAAGGCAAATCAGTCCATTCCAGATAAAGCTACTCATGACTATTAATCCCAGTTCAAAGTAATTTGTTCCAACTCTTCTACCTGTTTTAAAAATGCATCAGAAGGTCTGTAATTGGTGACCATTAATATCCTTTGGTGTCACGTTTGATTGCTATCTATACTTACTCAGATAGAAATGTGTAGCTGAGCCAATGAAAAATCATAGTAGAGTCTCGCTTATCCGGCCTTCGCTTATCTGACATTCTGTCTTATCCAACGCTCTTATCCGATGCTCCCCTTTTCCTCCAGGATTTCCCCTTCAATTAAAGGAGCGTTCCCCAACTCTCTCTCCATTCCCAATAAGTGAAAAAGGCAAGACAAGGAGGAGGAGGAGGGGGGGAAGGAAAGGAGGGAAAGAGGCAGGACCGAGTTAGGGTTAGGGTCGTCCTCCCTTCTTCGCTCTGATTTCCATGCTCCTCTTTTGCATCTGGGCACTCCCTACTGGGCCACTCTAGCCCTGAGGCATTGCCTTGCCTTAACCCTTTGAGTCCCTCTTGTTAGTATTCTAGGTGTCTAGTGCCACAACAGATGGGTAACAGTAGAAGACTCGGTATTATCCGACATTTTCGTTTATCCGAAATTCTGCCAGCTCATTTTTGTTGGATAAGCGAGACTCTACTGTATGTGAAATCAGTGATAATGAAATGTGGGGAAAGCACATTGCTCTGATTGTATCTCTGCCTTCATCCTCATGAATGGAGCCTACATTCACGTTTTGAAATATGCAGAAGCAATGTCCTAGATCTTTGAGGAGGAGGGGAGGTCACAACAGGAAAAATGCAACAAAATCAATACAACATGCCCAAGGAGAGGAAGAGGAGAAAGAGGAGGTGGTTATATGTCTCAGTTAGATTCTAACCTATGGAAAACCTGTCATGGATGGGTTTACACTTGTTTATGTCATAGGGAGGATTACATATCTATGCAAAGATCCACTCTTATCCAAGAAAAGTTTTCTTCCTCATTTACTTCTTTCATACAAATTATAGAAAACATTGAGCATGCCCCAATCCTTATATGTATTCGGTGGATGGATGGATGGATGGATGGATGGATAGATAGATAGATAGATAGATCAAAGTATGGTACAGATTTGGGTACAGATTCCCAAAGATTGATTGTTTTGTTTCTAAATAACATAGTTATTAAGACCTACATATCCATGTTTATAATGTTGTAAAGAGTGCTTTGTACATGTCCTTTGCACTCGTGTAAAACAAACATTTTGCTTTGTTTGAATGATTAAAGCATGAGGTGTTTTTTGCCAGTATCACAGCTGCGTGCACAAATTAAGCATGCCATATTTTATAGATGTTTGTCCTTTTAAAGATATTGTACTATTTCAACCTATATTTCTTTTAGGCCCCTTCTCCACTGCCAAATAAAATCCAGATTATCTGCTTTAACTGGATTATATTGAAGTATAGATTCAGACCACTTCTACACTGCCATATATCCGAGATTATCAAATCAGATAATACACATCTGGATTATATGAATCTATACTGCCATATAATCCAGTTCAAAGCAGATAATCTGGATTTTATATGGCAGTGTAGAAGGGGTCTTCAATACACCAGGACCATGCAGCTAATTCTGTTGCATCTTCTGACTTACTAACAACAGGTCCTACTGCTTTGCACCTGGCAGCTCAGTGTAGTTCCCTTGAAGCACTTCATTTCCTCCTGGCCTTAAAGGCAGACTACCGCATACCTGACCATCGGGGATGGCTGCCTATACATTATGCTGCTTTCTATGACAATGTCTCCTGTATCACAGTTCTCTACCGAAAACACCCAGACTTGATTGAGGCGGAAACACGAGGAGAGTGAGTATGCATAAAACAGGAAGCTATATAACATTAGGCTAATATCATAGTCTGGCTGGCCTTTGGATTCTTTTCACTCATGTAATATGGAAAGGAATCCATGTATTGAATTAATGCAAGGAAGAGGACATGAGTAGAGGGTTCAGGCATATTCCAGGACTGCTAATATCCATGTCTAAACCTGAAGGATGTGGAGGAAAACTTCCCTAGCTACTACATTAAATACATAATTTACAGCCTGCTGAGCCTCCCATTGACTAGATTATTTCTGAATATGCATGCGACCATCTGGATTAGTACCACTCTGCATAGATAGAGGAAATTTAAACCTCGCTACCTTTCCCCTCTATATCCGGTCCCATGCAGAAATGGGGAAAAACAGTAAAATTAATGGATTGCTGTGAGCTTTCCGGGCTGTATGCCCATGTTCCAGAAGCATTCTCTCCTGACATTTTGCCCACATCTATGGCAGGCATCCTCAGAGGTGGTGAAATCTGTTGGAAACTAGGCAAGTGGGGTTTATATATCTGTGGAATGTCCAGGGTGGGAGAAAGTAAAATTAATGATGGTGAAAAAAGTAGGCATAGATTTGATGTTCTTTCATTATTTTATATAATTTAATTTAAGCACTACTAATGTAATGTAACATGCAGTGTAGACTTGCTTCAAGGCACCTAAAAATACAGCACTCATTAGGTCAGGATGGAAAGCCAGACTAACCAATGAAAGGGGGTGGGATGTGGGCTTGTGGTGGAGCACATGTTCAATCTCATTCCCATCTTGAATTCTATGCCAAGAGAAAGACTGGACGCAAATAAACAAGTGCCATAAATCCCAGCATCTCCAAATAGGACTTGGAAAGACCCTTGCTTGAACCTGAATAACCATTATTAGATAATTTCCGATGTTCTGAACTGAAATTGTATTCTGTGGAGTAAATCCCACTAAACGGATATATATAGGACTGGACTGTAACTTCAATTTTTTTTATTTAAGCTTCTACTAAACACTGAAAGCAATTGTGTAAATCAATTTCATTCATACTCTTTTGTTTGTTTGTTGTGGCTCTCTCTCTCTCTCTCTCTCTCTCTCTCTCTATATATATATATATATATATATATATTCTCCTGCCTACAGGCTTCACTCCACCCCACTTTTGCTTGCGGCTACATCTGGAGCATTGGATACTATCCAGTATTTGTTTTCTCTTGGAGCCAACTGGCTGAAGAAAGACAGCGAGGGAAATACTATCATTCATTTGGCAGTGATGAATTTCCACACTGAAGTTCTGAAGCATCTAAATGAGCTCCATAATCCGGATCTCCCAGTTTGGAAAATTCTTGTTGGTAAACATGTACATTCTCTTTTTGAATGGCTTACAGAATTGTCTCAGTCCAGGGCTTTGTAACAAAAAGGATGCCAGTTGCACTCTACCCCCCCCCCCCACACACACACCCCTACCCCATTCCCTTATGTCTTGTTGGTTTTGTTTTTCTTTTATATGTGTGTGTGTGTGTTTGAAAACTTAATAAAGATTAATTAAAAAAACCAAAAAGGATGCCAGAGAGATTTCCCCTCTCCCTAGCATCCTTTCTAACATTGTATTGTCAAAGGCTTCCATGGCTGAAATCACTGGGTTGTTGTAGGCTTTTCGGGCTATATGGCCATGTTCTAGAAGCATTCTCTCCTGACGTTTCGCCTGCAACTGTGGCAAGCATCGTCAGACATTGTCTTTCCTGAGAAGGGAGAGAGTATAGAGCTATCTGCAGCAGCTATCAGGCCCCTTCTACACTGCCATATAATCCATATTATCAAAGCAACTAATCCACATTATACACTTTGAACTGGATTATATGAATCTACACTGCCATATAATCCATTTCAAAGCAGATCATCTGGATTTTTATGGCAGTGTAGAAGGGGCCTAAGTTCGCCTGTGGCCCATAGGTGTGTTGCACATGAAAATGTTTTTCCCATCAACACCCACACTCACAAACAAAGGCACAATTTGTTAATTGAGTTGTAGTAATTAGGACTAAAATGGGTAAGTTTCTAATTAGGAAAAGAAAATCTGTTGACCACGATGTTTGTGATGAACCACATGGAGCAGCTATAGAGAAACTACACAAGAATCAATTGTAGTACATAAGTGTAAAGGAAAACTTTCCAAAATAGTATGAAACTCTTATAAGGGGTTGGTTTAGTCCCCGGTTTATTGTGAATTTCCGTGTCGCAAAAGGATGAATGTCTAAAAGCATGTCACTAACATCAAAAGTTTGGAAAGCTCTGCTACAAATGTAGTCATCCAGAAATCCACTTGGTGGCAGCATAACATTGTACCTAGTGGAGTAATTAATATTTATAATATTACTAGCTGTCCCCTGCCACGCGTTGCTGTGGCCCAGTCTGATGATCTGGAAAATAAAGTAATGAGAAAGTGTTGGTTTCTAATATATGTAATTTCTTTATGCTTGTGGGTAAACAGTATTTCTTGTTGTTTCTTTGTCAGTGTTGATGTGGAGATTGTCTGGTTTGCCCACTCTGGAACATGCAACATATCATTGACCTTCTTTATGGGTCCCTTTCAAATCTATGATACTATATCTGTGTGTGAGAGAATCATATATTTCTATCTATATCTATGGCTGGATGGCTCTTTGTCAGGAGGGTTTGCTAGTCCTCATGAAGGGGGTTGAATGGCCTTAAGTATTTTCTGTTGGTCATAAGGGTTCTGTGTGGAAAGTTTGCCCCAATTCTGTCATTGGTGGGGTTCAGAATGCTCTTTGATTGTAGGTGAACTATAAATCCCAGTAACTACAACTCCCAAATGCCAAGGTCTATTTCCCCCAAGCACCATCTGTGTTCATATTTGGGCATATGGAATATCCATGCCAAGTTTGGTCCAGATCCATCATTGTTTGAGTTCACAGTGCTCTCTGGATTTAGGTGAACTACAACTCCCAAACTCAAGGTCAATGCCCACCAAACCCTTCTAGTGTTTTCTGTTGGTCATGGGAGTCCTATCTGCCAAGATTGGTTCAATTCCATCATTGGTGGAGTTCAAAATGCTCTTTGATTGTAGGTGAGCTATAAATCCCAGCAACTACAACTCCCAAAGGACAAACTCAATTTTTTTTGAGTGAAGGACATACATTGGGTTGTTAGGTGTATACTGTCCAAATTTGGTGTCAGTTCCCCCAGTGGTTTTTGAGTTCTGTTAATCCCACAAACGAACATTACATTTTTATTTATATAGATGAAATGCAATATAATACTAATAATAATGATATGATATTATAAGTATATATTTATATTACATGTAATTTTACTAATAATGTTATAATATAATGGCATAATACAATATAGTAATATTTAATACTGATATTGTACTATGCTAATAATATAATATATTGTATGTATATATATATCTTGTAAGCCGCTCTGAGTCCCCTTCGGGGTGAGAAGGGCGGCATATAAATGTCATAAATAAATAAATAAATACCTGGTGAGGGAAAAATAGGCAGACCATATTATGACCTTTATTATCAAGAGTAATGTAGAATTGAGAAAAATCATTCTGCATCATTGGCAGTCATCTTCAGATTAATTTTGAATTTCTCAACAGATATGTTGGACTGTAAAGGTTTTCGGAAGAAACGGGAAATGGCAGTAAGATGTTTAGAAGTCCTTTGTCTGGCCAAAGATAACTACTGGAAGTGTATTTTAGATGCAGGTGAGAGATACAGAGATTATATAGACAAATGTGTCCTTTGTCTTCAGGTGACAGGTGTTCATAGAAAAATGCCTCCAGCATTTCATTTCTAAGTTGATTTACGATGCCTATGCAAATATGTAGGTATTTGCATACAAAGCCATTTTATAAATAAGAAAAGCATAAATTAATTACATTAATTCATTAATAATATGCTTGCATGGGTTGTGGTATGGTTTTCTTGTGGATTTAGAGCTATCCCTTTAAAAAAAACTGCATCGCACTCACAATGTGTAATTTGACTACCATTTTCTTCTGCATTGCAATGGCATCCATTTCCACTCCAGAAATCAATCAAATAGACGGCTTTTTTAAAAAAAAGATTATTTAAGTGATGTTAATGTTAAGCAATTAAACACTTTTGTGCATATGTAAATTAAACAAGAATGGTTTAGAATTCCACAAAGAACTGAGGAATATTATTTGCAACTACGAGCAGTAAATCTGCTTAAAAATGATCTGTGAGAGGACTCTCTTCTAGCTCGGGAGCAAATCAGGATAACTTTGCATGGAAACAACAATGGCGTAGTTCTGTGTCTGGCAAATCCAAATAGTGCCTGAGATCCTACATTGGGATTGCATAATGTATACCTACAAATCCAGAGTTGCACATTGATTGTGCTAGGCAACTTTTGCGTTGAAAGGTAACAATGTACAGTTGAATACAACTCCAAATATGCAATTGGACAGTCACATATGCATCTGTATGGATGTGCAGATGTATATGTATATGTCGATCTATATATACAATGGTACCACATGTGCAGGGAGCACCCAGTGGCGCAGTGGGTTAAACTGCTGAGCTGCTGAGCTTGTTGTCTGAAAGGTTGCAGGTTCGAATCTGAGAGCGGTGTGAGCTTCCGCTGTCAGCCCCAGCTTCTGCCAAACTAGCAGTTCGAAAACATGCAAATGTGAATAGATCAATAGGTACCGCTCCGGCGGGATGGTAACAGTGCTCCATGCAGTCATGCCGGCCATATGATCTTGGAGGTGTCTACAGACAACGCCCGCTCATCGACTTAGAAATGGAGATGAGCACCACACCCCAAAGTCGGATACGACTGGACTTAATGTCAGGGGAAAACGTTTACCTTTTACCACATGTGCAATCCTGTTTCTCCAAACTTGAAAGCTGAATGCATATGTTCCACATCAAACAAAAATGCCCAACTGCTTCCATAGGGGAATTTACACTTGTGGAAGGCATGTGCAGGACGTTTAATCACACAAAGAGAGATCCAAATTGTTCAGTCATTTTCCTTGCAGGTTTTAATGAGGGAAAATTAAACAAATTGAGTTTCTACACATTGAAAATACAGTGTAGCTTTATGTTGTGGAGTTATGCACCTTAGTAGACTGCAATTCCAAAAGAACGTGCATTTCAACATATACAGTGTGTAGCAATGCACATCAATGTATGATGCTCAAAGCACATCCATGTATAACAACACTGCATGCAATGGCACTATTACCTTGAGCTGAATATGACGGTTCCTCATTGAACAAAGGTGAATGTACACAAGAAAGTAGATTCCATCTGAACATGAGGAAGAACTTCCTGACTGTGAGAGCCATTCAGCAGTGGAACTCTCTGCCCCGGAGTGTGGTGGAGGCTCCTTCTTTGGAAGGTTTTAAACAGATGCTGGATGGCCATCTGTCATGGGTGATTTGAATGCAATATTCCTGCTTCTTGGCAGGGGGTTGGACTGGATGGCCCATGAGGTCTCTTCCAACTCTGATTCTATGATTCTATGATTCTAAGGCACTAGTAGATTGATGGCCAATGTTCACAAAAGGCTATAAGAAAGGACTCAATTTAACATCAGTGAGTGGTGGAGAGAATAAGTTACAAGAACGTAACCAGGCAAATGTATGAACTGTGGCAAAACCATTAATACCGCTAGTAGTTATATTCAGGACTACATGTAGTTTGTGTTGCGCAGTAAGTGGATCTTACCCACGTCCCATGCACAAGACACACAGACAAGAGTAAAAAGGAACAGAAAAATCTTTACTCTTAATAGCAGAGATAAACATAAACTTGCAATATTGCATACAAAAAACAAAGAGTGCAAGAAACTTACATAGTCTTTGTAAGTAACACAAAATAACCACTTTGAGTCTCCCTAGGGGGTGAGAAAAGCGGTATATAAATACTGTAAATAAATAAATAAAATAAGGCATCTTCATTTTAAGTCAAATGAGAGAGCAAAAGCATAAACCTTGAGTAAACAGCTATTCCACCATAGCCTCCTTTAGAAGAGCATCAACAGCTTCTCTCCTACTTGCTCTCCAGAGCAGAGCCTTTGAGCATAGATCTCCTCAGAGAAAAAGCTCTCCAGAGCTGTATTCTAAAAACCCATACAGTTATACCCTATCAGATGTGGCCCAAGATTGCTGGTTGACCTACATTACCAGTTGCACATAATAATTACCATCATAAGGTTTTTCTTCAACACACACACACAAACTTGGTCCTGCTACAACTTACTGTATCAGTTTGTTCTCATCTTTAGAAGTGCTTTCTCCTGGGTATATTTTCATTTCTCTGTGTCAGGCGTGGTTTCTTTGTATGCTGTGAAGATTATGTTAATGTATGCAGGGAAAGGCTTTATTCAGCTGTGACACCTATTTATGGAAAACTTGCCCTAGAGGTATTTATGAAACAGCCTTGGACCAAATGGGAAACACATTCGTATGGTCTATAAGCTAATGATTCCAGGTGTTATATATTATTTTCATTTGAGCTGCTTCATATATTGTCCTTTGATTGATGTCAAACAAACCAATATTTCATTGTATATTTTGTTGTTATGTTGCTTTTAGGTTTCAATCACATGCACTGGTTTTAAGCTTAAATCGCCTCTTGTTTAGAAACAATTAAAATTTTTAATGAATAATAAAATTATAATTCCTGGGTAATATTGTGAACTTGTTTTGCGGAATAGGATATTTGAAGTCCTGGATTTATGCTTGAATTTTGTATGTTTCAAGGCACTGTCTAGGTGCCATTTGTAAGCCGCCTTGAGTCCTCCTCCAGGATAAAGGTGGGGTATAAATAAGGCAAATAAATAAATAAATAAATGTTCAGCTGACAACTACATTGTTTCTTTCATTGTTTTACATGCAGGTACTATACCCTCCCTAATCAGCTTGTTAAAAAGTGGAGATATCGTATTGGAGTGCATCACTGTGGGAGTGCTGAGCAACATCTCAACCCATAACTTGATTGCTAGAGCCTTGGTAGATGCAGGCGGCATTTCAGTATTGATTAAACTGTTGTCTTCGAATCAGCCCGACCTCCTTTCTCGTTGTGCTGTTCTTTTGTACGATATTGCTCAGTTGGATGACAATCAGACCATCATTGCAGAACAGGTGGGTCTTCTCAAAATACGTGCAGTCTGCTTTCCTGCTATCGCCTTCTCCAACTTAAAAAGAAGACAGTATGGTTTTAGCTTTTGGTCATGTTTCATCACTGAGGATTTTTTAAAGACTTTTTTGAAAAATGTGAATCTCCATAACCTTTTGGGAAATGGGATTCATAACCTTTAGGGAAAACGGTCACAGGAAAGGCATGATCTTGTTAGAAGTCACAACCTTTTTTGAAAAATGGCATTCACCAGCATTCATACTAGGCAACTAGGTCTCTCAGCTGTTAAACCGATTTACCTAGGTAGGTCTTTGAACTGCTAGGGACAAAGACATGCCAATGCACAAAAACATTCAGCAGAGTTTCAGAAGTGTTGCCCAAAAAACATCTACTCTGCCTTAAATCATGCCCTCAAGAGACAAAATAAACAGTCTTCTTTAAAAGTAACAAAGTTGGTTTACTCACAAAACTTCATGTATACAGAATAAGGCACTTTGCTTATGAATCCAGTTACAATAGGATTTTAAGTGGTTTCTCTTTGTAGGTAACACAGGCATCTTTTGTAGAACAATAGTCCATAGTCCAAAGCATCTCGCTGCTTTGAGAGTCTAATAGAGTCTCTGTCTAGTCTCTAAGCATACTTTTCCACATTACTGAGGATATTTTTGACAACTTGTTTGCTTTTTACAAGAAATTATAAGGATTTTGAATGATTTGGCGTTCCATGCTACAAGAGCACACAGTGGATGTTTACCTGGTTCTGTGTTGATCATGATAAACAAATCGGGTGTCAGTCGCGGAAGCCTCTTTCTCTGCATTCTTTCTCTGAATTTCTCCTTTGTCTTTAAGCACAGTCCAGTGATACTTTCTAACTAGACTTAATGGTTGTTAAGATCAATAATAATAATAATAGTCAGAAGTCTCAAGTAGGATCTGAAAATCAATTTAAGCGACAGTCTCACATCTCAGGCAAAGAAAATCTTGAGTAAACTTCACAGTGTAGTTAAAGTGTACATTACCTGCCATATAAAGAAAAAAGCGGGGAGGTGTTTCATGATAGGAGTATGTGTTTCTGAGGGTAGCTCCTTATTTCTCAACTGTAGATCAGAATGATGGGTCTGTTACCAAGCATCATTGAGTGGCATCTCCTGAAGCTGACATCAGTGATGGAAAAGGAAATGAGGGTTGTTCCTTCTCTCTTTCTGTACACACACACACACACACACACACACCATTACCACCTTGGCATTAATCATTAATAGAAGTTTTCAACTTATTTGGAGCAGAGGTTCCCAAACTAAGGCCCACGGGCCAGATGTGGCCCTCCATGGTAATTTACCCACTACCTGCTTTAAACTTTAAACTTAGGGTCGCCCTAAGTCTGAAATGACTTGAAGGCACACAACAACAACAATCAAAATTAACCTGAGTGTCTCATTAGTCTAAAGCAGGAACACACTTCCCATTGAAATACTGGTCTGTTTATGTTAGTTAAAATTATTCATCATTTTAAATATTATATTGTAATTTCATTATTTTTTGCACTACAAATAAGATATTTGCAGCGTGCATAGGAATTTGTTCTTTTCTTTTTTTCAAACTATAGTTTGAGAGACTATGAACTGATCCTGTGTTTAAAAAAGTTTGATGACCCCCCTGATCTTGCATGCAGTTTGGGCAGAGATACAGGATTGGGAAGCTGTTGGCATAAAGCCCTCTCCTCACCCATTCCCCAAGAGGAAATTTTCCATAAGTATTCATTGACAGAGAAGGACCTGCTCTGTCCCACCTCCTGCACAATATATTCATGGTCAGGCTTATTTATTTATCGTGTCAGAAGCAAGTTATCATGGTCAGGCTGGGTAACTTTCTGATACTTTAATAGTGCAGTTCATATACATTTTCTTTCTATAGGGTGCAATTCCTGCACTTGTTAACCTGTTGCAGTATGATCTACACGATCTGTTAGTAAATGTAATAAACTGCATCCGAGTATTGTGCGTTAACAACCGTGAGAACCAATTGAAAGTGAAAGAAGCTAAAGGCATTGAACCACTGGTCCAGTTCTTAGATTCAGAGTCAGGTAAAGCCCAGAAAGAAAAGTCAAATTTTGTGGGTGGGAGGAAGGTTTATACTGAAAACTGTTGGCTTTCAAGAAATTCATTATTTTACCCAGTGGACGGAATAAATGTTTTGTTTAACGTGTGAGATCAATGTTGTTTAAAATAAGTTAACTACCCACATATTTTAATATGCATGTTTGAAATTATTCTATTGACTCTAAATATCTTACAGCACTGAAAGATAACCCAAAGCTCAGCAAATTCCTTTTAAAAACTGATTCACTCCTCTACTCATTAAAATGTTTGAAAGGCTAGCTTACTCTACAAAAGGTTATATGGCTTCTCAATTTTGCATTACTGTTGATTTCTCTGCTGTCGCACGCTGGGCCTGGAACAATTTCTATTTACAGGACATGCCTTCTGTATGCCCAATGGGACGCCAGGGTGCCTCAGCTGAAGGGCCCCTTAGATTTCCCAACACAAAGTTCTATTGAGGCTCAAAATAAGTTCAACAAAGTTCTTTATTTGGGCTTAAATCTTCAAACAAATGAATTAAACACTTTATAAACTTGGAAAACCGGTAGCTTCCTCAGTCTGCCAACAAGGGGCAGGCAACTGGTGGGAAACTGTTCTTTCTTCCTTAGGGAAATCTTTTGACCCCTCCCTGGGCAATCTCTCTTTACCTTGCAGGCGTGAGGCCACTACGCCCGGCTCCAAGCTGCTTTATGGATAGCCCGAGTGGTCCCTTACCAGACAAGGTTTCTGTAGATCTGCCAAGCTGAAATTGTGTCCTTTAGTTTTCTCCACGAAGGCTGTAGGAACTGTCCTGTTGCCCCAGCAAAGGCTAGCTGTATTTTCCCAGCAAAAGCTGTGGAACTATTCCTTTGCTCCCCAGCAAGGCTGTGGAACTATTCCTTTACTCCCCAGCAAGGCTGTGAGTAACAAAGTCTTTGTGCGGGTGGGATAGAGAAAGCCACCCGTCCTGCTGTTAGGCTCCAAAAGTGAGACTGAACAAATCTCCTCCTTTCCCTCCAAAACCCTGGGGCAAGGGGCGGGCCTAAAGGCTCTAACGATGATTGCCAGGTTGCTGGACCTATGACTGCAACCTGGGGAAGCTACCTGATTGCAAAATGCATGGCTTAAATAAATTCATACAAACTAGCAGTGCAAGAAAAAGAAATTCAAACCTCCTGGCACTGTTGTGCCAGCACAATTTCCAGAGACAGGGAGAAAGAGAGAGAGAGAGAGAGATGGGAGAAAATACTTAGGCAGCATCTACGCTAGACAGGCTATTCCAGTATATATCTGCTCCAGATCCAGCATGTACATATGTGCTATATCTGGGACTAATATCCAGATGGTTCAGCCAGGCTCCAGTTGGGAGACCACCTCATCCTCTGTGCTGATGCTGCCACTTTCCAGCAGACATGGGGCTCTGTCACCTATTATACCTACAGCTGTTAGGGAACTTTTTTTTTTGAGGAGCGACTTGAAAAACTGCAAGTCACTTCTGGTGTGAAAGAATTGGCTGGCTGCAAGGACATTGCCCAGGGAATAACCGGATGTTTGATGTTTTACCATCCTTGTGGGAGGCTTCTCTCATGTCTCCATATGGGGAACTGGAGCTGTCAAAGGGAGCTCAACCCACTCTCCCCAGATTCAAACCGCTGAACTGTCAGTCAGCAATCCTGCTGGCACAAGGGTTTAACCCATTGCCACCGGGGTAATAACAGTGTACCAGCATGACCAGCAAGCTAGACCCTTCCTTTTTGCTGGTTGTGTAGGTGCCCCATTCCAACATGACCAGCAGGGAAGAGTGGCACAGGGGAAAGAATGAGGTGGTGGTATACATCTACATAGGGAATTGAGCTAAAATAGACTTGATACAGCTATTCAACCTGCCACAAAGCTCTGGGATACTTTCCAGTTTCCTGCAAACTCCAGAGTATTCCCCCAACTTTGCCAAAAGCAGGGCAAAGTCAGGTTAAAGTCAGAAAATCCACTCAAGTGTACCATGTACCCCCCCCCTCCCCACACACACACACACCGTCTTAGCTGATAACAAAAGAAATATTTTAAGACAAAATGCATGCCTGTGATTCAAACATTGTCCTTTTTTCTTCTCTTATATGATTTAATGCCTTTGACTGATTGAGAACGTAGTGGAGCTTCTAAGCTTACGTGATGTGTTTTGTACTTTTTAGTTAGCCCAATAAATATATTAGTGTTTTGTAGATTTTGGAATGTGTTATATTTTGCTGTATGGACAGCATAGCAGCACCTGAATGTTCCTTTGTAACAAAATTGTGAATCTACATTACTGTTTCGTAACTACATTTGCTTTTGTGCCACATTTCAAATTTTCCTTTCCTCCTTCCCTTTCCCTTTCTTTTTTAGACATATTAAAGATTTCAATTGCTGCTTGCAAAATGAGAGAGATATAGTAGATTAGATTGAAGACTAATATTAGGACATCATTAATCAAGTCATCAGAGAGTTATTAACTAAACAAATCTGTGTCCAGCACACTAAACAAAGAGTAACAAATCCATGGCCGCTATTATTATTGTTTCCATTGTTTATTATTTCCTTGGTGTGTCTAGCTTCCACCTTACTACTTTTTCTGCATGTAGATGTGCTACTGGCGGTGGCTTCAGCAACCATTGCAGAAATTGCACGTGGGAATTCTGAGATGCAGAATGCCATCGTCGAGGCCCATGTCATTGGCTCTCTGGTCGAGCTGCTCAGAGGAAGGAAAATCAGTGTCCAGGTGAAAGGAGCCATGGCCATTGAGGCACTCTGTGCCAATAACAGTTACATCCAGATGAGATTCCTAGCCAAATCAGTGACAAGATTCCTTTTAAAGCTCCTGAAGGCAAGTATTTGGCTTTTCTTCTTTGGAAAGTGTTGCACATTCTTATGGTTTCTTTGTGAGTTATTTGGAATCATTTGGGGACCTCACCAATCCTAAGCATGTTTACCAAAATGGCAAAGCCTATCAAGTTTAATCAGACTAAATTAGAATTGGAACCTCACTTTTATTTTTTTATTTTTTGTTAACATCAGCCCTAAAATATTGTTTTGTTTTTGGTCTAATTTCCAGGCCTTTCACCTGAAAGTTAAAGAACAAGGTGCTGCAACCCTCTGGGCACTAGCGGGCCAAACCCTGAAGCAGCAAAAATACATGGCAGAACAAATTGGATACAACCTTATTATAGATATGCTTCTTTCTCCATCCGACAGAATGCAGTGCATTGGTAAGTCATCTTTTTTCAAAAAAAAGAATAGAAGAATATGTATACATGGGACTGTGTGCATGCACAAACACATTGAGGCACCAAAGGTTTTGAAACACTTGTTTATATTATTTTGGAAGGAGGTGAAGCTGTCATCGCTCTTAGCAAGGACAGCAAGATTCACCAGAATCAGATCTGTGAAGGAAATGGAATTGGCCCTTTGGTCCGGCTGCTGAGGAGCGGAAGGATAGCAGACAGCACACTGATCAGTATCATCAGAGCCTTGGGGACCATATGTGTCGGTTTGTAATTTCTACCCCAAACTCTCAGTTTTCTTTAATTTAAATAATTGTAGGAGTTTCAGCTAGGAGTGACAAAAAAAAACTTTGAAGGGATATGTTCGGACGATGTAGAAGTAGTTCTTTTCTTTAGCAAAGCTCCCATTTCGATGACTAAGTACTGTTCTGGCTGTCTTACTGCATGAGCTTTTTATGAAGGTTCAAAAAATGTTCCCTCTTATTCCCTCCAGATATTTTGGACTATAGTTCTCACTTGATGTTGTTATGTTTCTGACTTATGGCAACTCTGTCAAGGGGATTTCTTGGAAAGATTTCTCCAGAAGAGTTTTGCCATTCCCTTCCTCTGAAGTGAAGAGCGTGCGATTTGGCCAAGATTTCAGGGCTTCGAACCTTTGGTATTCAGAGTCATAGCCCAATGCTCAAATCATGACACCTCCCAGGCTATTATGCACAGTGGCTACATATGACAGAATTTTTGGCCCAGAGATCTAGAAGAGACCAGTTTGTAGGGGTGTGTGAATTGGCACAGAATCCGTTCTGTTTTCATTCTGTTTTCGGTCCCGTCCCCTCCCCCCAGCTTCTGATTTTAGAAAGATTCTTCCTGAAATGAAACTCGAGGTTCTGAATTATAAATCCAAACAGCCCCTCCTCCTAATCTTATGGAATCTTCCCAAAAACAGAACAAGGGGCACCCAAAACTTGAAACAAAAACAGGATGAAAACAGAATGGATTTACATATCCCTACTTAGCAAAAACCATTCTAATCCTGAAGTAGGAAGTGGTAGTGAATTAGGTTTGTGGTTTGTACTGTTCTTTAATTAGAACCCCCAAATCCACCAACTAAAGTTGGTTCAAATGCAATGCTTTAAGAATGAAAGAAATTGAAGTCAATAAATTAGTATGAGAACCACCATAACACAGTGGTTGCAACTTTAATACTACCAGGATTAAACCAGCACCAAGGGATCAATACAGTGCAGCATATATTAAAAACAGAAGCAAATAATAAAAAGCATAACGTTATTAAATTGTCAGGTAGAACAAAACTCTAAAAAATTTTCTCCACGCATAGTACAAAAAGATGATCTGATCCAAATCCTACAAAGTTACCTTCTCTATTTGCTTCTAAATCCTCATTTATTGAAGGTCAAGTTGATGGTTATTATATGAAAATGTGGACTCAAACTATATAAGACAATGTAATTACTTTCAGGCCCCTTCTACACTGTCCTTATATTCTAGGATCCGATCCCAGATTATCTGCTTTGAACTGAATTATTTGAGTTTACACTGCCAGATTATCTGGGATAATCAGATAAACTGGGATCAGATCCTGGGATATGGGGCAGTGTAGATACAGCCTCGGTTATTAGTATTGATAGTTGAAGTATATGCTTGTCTGAAAGCAACTAGAACAGTGGTTCTCAATCTGTGGGTTTTGGCCTTCAACTTCCAGAAATCCTATCAGCTGGTAAACGGGCTGGGATTTGTGGGAGTTGTAGGCCAAAACACCTGGGGACCCACAGGTTGAGAACCACTGAGCTAGAACAAAGCTTTTACAGTTACACATTTTCTTGTGTTAATGTTAAATTCTTTCTCTGCTACTTTGCCATTTCTATTGGTTTGAATTCCTTCTGTGGATTTGTCCGCGGGATTTTTGTGCTCAACAGGTGAAGCCAATATAAGTAATCCAGCCAGTCAAGAGAGTGTGGTGGAAGAGGGCGCCTTGCCGATACTGGTTCATTTACTTAAAACTCATCCTTCTCTTCAGATAAAGGTAAGCTTTAAGTGTTAGCCTCAAATAACCTCTTGGATGGTCTCCCCCAACTAGGATGGTCAGGGGCCTTGGTATAAGGACAGAATTGTCCTGCAACAGTGAAGGAATTGAGTTTAGACTATCCAGGGGGACCCCAACCAGTTTGACCCCACTAGATGATCACCTTATCTTGGATATCTCTATTGCTGCTGCTGGCAGGACTGGTTGAGAGAGCTGGTTGAGCTCCCGTCTGTCAGCCCCAGCTTCCCTTGCGGGTACATGAAAGAAGCTTCCCCCAGGAAGGTAACATATTCGGGTGTCCCCTAGGCAACATCTCTGTAATGGCTGATTCTCTCACACCAGAAGTGACCTGCAATATGTTCTCAATTGCTTCTGACATAAAAAGTGCAAAAAATTAAAAAGGGAAAAAGAATACAATATTGATTTGAAGAACAATTTTAACCAACATAAACTTAACAGTATTTCAGTGGATGACACCATACAAACCTCTTCTGCTATGCAGGAAAAGCACAACCAAAGCACCCCCAATAGATGGCCACCCATCTGTTATCATAATAATAGCAGATACACTAGGAGTCATCAAGTCCAACCCCTTGTGTCATATAGTAAAAGCATAATCAAAGTACCCCCTGAGTGGTGGGAAGGAAATAAGAGTTTTGGAAGCAAACAAGGTGAGGGAGGAAAGATCTGGGCAGCAAGGAAGGTGAAGAAAAACGGCTTTTGGTGGCAAGGAAGAAAAGTGGAGCAGGAAAGAGGAAGAAAAGCTTGGAGAGCTGTTTAGCAGTGGAACTTTCTGCCCCGGAGTGTGGTGGAGGCTCCTTCTTTGGAAGCTTTTAAACAGAGCCTGGATGGCCACCTGTCAGGGGTGCTTTGAATGCAGTTTTCCTGCTTCTTGGCAGGGGGTTGGACTGGATGGCCCATGAGGTCTCTTGATTCTATGATTCTATTCTATGAGGGAGAGGGAGGAGGAGGAGGGAAGTGTGGAGCCCCTCAGTATGCTTTGCGGAGCTCTGGGTGAATACTGTTTTATCACTTCCATTTCAAAAACGGAATTGAGGAAAGCTGCCACTGAAACATCTCATATGTTTCCATTAATTTGATTAAATCCCTTTCAGTTTTATGGTATCCCAAAACCCAGGTTTCTCTAAAAACAGAGCTGTTCAATGGTTTTTCGTATGCAGATAAAAAAAAACAAAAAAAACAAAAAAAAAAAAACCAAAAAAACAAAAAAAAAAAAAAAAAAAAAAAAAAAAAAAAAAAAAAAAAAAAAAAAAAAAAAAAAATAAAAAAAAAAAAAAAAAAAAAAAAAAAAAAAAAAAAAAAAAAAAAAAAAAAAAAAAAAAAAAATTTGATTAAATCCCTTTCAGTTTTATGGTATCCCAAAACCCAGGTTTCTCTAAAAACAGAGCTGTTCAATGGTTTTTCGTATGCAGATACATAGAGGCGTGCTATATTTATATTCTCTCTTTATTAAAAATTGTCTTGCATCCACTCTAATGTCTAGGTTGAAGTTGCATTTTCTTTAGCTTGCATTGTGTTAAAGAACAGCACCCTGCAGAACGTTTTGCAAGAGAAGGAAGGCTTTAACTATACGGATGTCCTTAAGCTTCTGTATGCACAAGATAAGGTACAGATATTGTTGGAATAATGCCAAAATAAGATAATACAAAAGTTGATACTCTGTTTCTACTGTAAATTCAAGGATGAATGCAAGAGCTCTGTAATGGAAGCAAATCCTATTCCCAGAATTTCCTCATTTTTTAAGAGGGGGGATCTTTTGGAGAATTATGATCTTTGGAAAGGCATGATCTTGTTAGAAATCGTAACCTTTTTGGGGAAAAAATGATAGCATAACCTTTTGGGTAATTGAAATCTCCATAACCTTTTGGAGAATTGTGGTCTTTGGAAAGGCATGACCTTCTTAGAAATCATAACCTTTTGGAAAAAATGATGCCATAAACGTTTGGGTGATGAAAATCTCCATAACCTTTTGGAAAATGGCATTTACCACCATTTTAGGAAAATGAGGAATCTCCCCAAGAAGAGTTAAAAACTTGCTTGAGTCAACTTTCTCCTTAGTGATAAATATCCACTAGTATCCATGTAATGAATTAGGTTTCTCAGCTGTTAAACTGATATAACTAGATATCTCTTTGAAATGTTAAGGACAAAGATATGCCAATATACAAACACACACAGAGAGAGAGAGCAGAGTTTCAGAAGTATTCTTTCAGTTGCCCAAAAAAACATCTACTTTCCCTTAAAACATCTTGGTTTAAATGGTGCTCTCAAGAGACAAAAATAAGTTAGACTTCTTTTAAAGTAACATAGTTGGTTTACTCACAAACTTTATGTATTCAGCATAGAGGTACATAGTTTATCAACCCAGTTATAGGTAGGATTTGAAGTAGTTTCTCTGTGCAGGCAACACAGGGCATTTTTCTTATAATCTTAACCGTCCGTAGTCTAAAGCATCTCTCTATTTTGAGAGTCTAATAAGAGTCTCTGTCTAGTTTGAAAGTCCAATGGAGTCTCCCTCTACTGTGTCTGAAAGCATATTGTTTCTACTGACTTCTAAACTGCACTGTTTCTACATTGAAAGTCTAATGGCTTCTGCTACTATTAGTGTCTGAAAGCATACTGTTTCTAAAATGGAGTCTGAGTCCTGAACAGTCCCAGTTCTGATCACATGGTCTGCAGCCCCTCCCACAACACAGAGTTAAGGAAAACTGCTCACCAATACACACATATACAATACAGTAAGCAATTTGAATTATATACATAACAAATAACTAATGGAGCATGAAGGTGGTTGCTATTTCCAACAGGATCTGTTTGTATCTTCCCTTCTACCTATTGATAAGATCTTTCAGTTGCAAGGAAAGAAAGTGAGTGCATACATCCAAGTACTTTCTTACAACACGGTGTAGGAAAAACCAGCAGAAGTGATCTAAAATTTAGTTCTATAAATTCAGTGCTTTTGATGCTGAAGCACTGGTGTCATTTGTAGGAGACAATTGCTTTTAAAAATATATAATCCCCTTGCATCTCAAAGATGCCTATCTCTATTTTAAGGCACTAAATGGCTCTAATAGGACTATCACAACAATTAACACGGTTATCCCAAAGTAACGAAATGCTTAAAAATGCACTTCTTAGTAAATATATAAATAAATTTACATATTTCTCTGTTTTCAGGATATCTGTTTGAGGGCAGGACATGCTATAGCATTTTTTGCTTATAATAATCCCACTCAACAGTTATTGATCTTAGACACTGGACCAATATCACTGTCAATGTTTGAAGATTTTTTGGTGTCAGACATAGAGATGGAGAGAGCAATGGCTGCCTTTCAGGTACAAAATTAGGGATTACCATTGTAGCTTACCCAGGATAACTTATCCATTCAAGAGACTTATGAATAGGGCATTTTCAGAAAAGATGAAGGAAACTACAAAGCATCATTCAAAGCGTATGCTATCCAAAGCGGACCTTAGTTCACTTACACTGTAATCGCATGGGGATATGCTTTGTTTGTGCACATAGATGTCTTTAAGTTTCTTTGTGTGTGCAATAGAATAACAAGTCTTTTCCTCTAGTCAGTCAGATTGCTTATGTTAGTAAAGGTAAAGATTTCCCCTTGACATTGAGTATAGTTGTGTCTGACTCTGGGGAGTGGTGCTCATCTCCTTTTCTAAGCCAAAGAGCCGGTGCTGTCGGCAGGCACCTCCAAGATCATGTGGCTGGCATGACTGTATGGAGCACCATTACATTCCTGCAGAAGTGGTACCTATAGATCTACTCAGATTTGCATTTTTTAGAACTGCTAGGTTAGCAGAAGCTGGGGCTAACAATAGGAGCTCACCCCATCCATGGATTCAAACCACTGACCTTCCAATCAGCAAGTTTTGCAGCTTAGTAGTTTAACCCGCTGCAACACCACAGTCCCATTTGCTTATGTTAAAGAAGCTATTTATTTTTCATTGCCTGTTCTCTCAAAAATAGAGACCAAGTATGATTTTATGTAGAACTACAGTACAGTTGGCTTAATCAAATAAAACTGAATGCATTCACTAGGACTGTAAAATGCTCTGAAGTATCCAAAAATGTTCAACTCGTACTTTGGACCACAGTTTCCATTTTGCTGACAGATCCCACTTTGTAGACAATCCTTATTGCACAATTTTGCACAGGTCTGCAGAAGTAAGTCGTGCTGAGTTCAGTGGGGCTTCCTTAAAAATAGTTTTGTATAATTTTGCAACATAGTCCTTGATACCATTTAGATCAGCATATTATGGTAAGCAGAAAATGAAAACACACAGTTAATATTTTGCTTCAAAAATCTATCTGATTCCAGATTGTTGTTCTAGCCAGAATTATAGTTGATAAAGACCAAGTGAGTCTGTCTGCAAGAGGAGTTTCAATTTTGGTCGACTTGCTGTGTTCAGAAAAGGCAGCCACTCTTGTGCTAACAGGTAATAATTATTAAGGTACATGGTTAAGATCCTGTGGGAGCACTACCGGGTGTGTATGTTAAGAGAAAAAGACTCACCCTGATTAATTGCAAGCCACAGGCGGAGTAATTAAGGTCAATCAGTTTGGGCCACTCCCAAAGGGGTATAACTGGGGAGTGTTTCTTCTATAATTTGAGCTTACTGAATGTTTCCTCCTGGGCTTGCTGAAGCCTTGCCGAATGATGATGATGATGATGATGATGATGATGATGATGATGATGATGATGATGATAATGACTCTGGTACAAGCCAGTCAAGGTGGTTCCAGTGGTGATTGGCACACTGGGTGCAGTGCCTAAAGACTTTGGCCTGCACTTAAACACAATCAGCGCTGACAAAATTGACATGTTAGTTGCAAAAAACCACCTTACTGGGATTTGCATGCATTATTCGCTGATACATCACACAGTCCTAGACACTTCGGAAGTGTCCGACGTGTGATCCAATACAACAGCCAACAGAGTGGCCTTGTTTGCTGTGGACACATCTTTTTGTGTTTCAGATAAAAATAATAATCTTTATTTATATTCTGTCCTATCTCCCCTGGGGGACTCAGGGTGGATTCCAACAAACAAAAAGGCCTCAATTATTGCCTCAATAAATACAAATATAGAAACCCAAAATACAAATACAAATATAGAAACACAAAATAACCCAACATAAAGAGCAATTTAGGCATAACCACTATAATTTAAATAAAACATAATCAGTTTAAAATTATAACTAACATAGAACTTGAACCTAAAACATCCAAATTAATATATCAAAACAACACAAAGGTTCACAGATGTGTGCATAGATTGTATGGCCAAAGTTGTCAAATGGGTTAATGTGATCTAACAAGGCCCAAGTGCATTCATATTAACCAAACAGCAGCCTGGTAGTAGTTTCTCTTCATCTAGTCCTCCTCCTCTCCATAAGCTTGTGAGCAAAGTTAGGTTTTCACCTGTTTTTGAAGGAGAGAAGGGAGAAGACCAGCTTAATTTCTTTAGGGAGGGAGTTCCAGAGGAGGAGTCGATCACGGAGAAGGCCCTCTCTCTCATTCCCGCCATCTGTGCTTGAGATGGGGATGGGACTGAGAGTAGGGCCTTCTCTGATGACTGCTACTCAGCATAAGGTCCTCCTGACTTGAAGCCCATTTGATGCTGGCAAGTTTGTCTTCTGTGCTTGTCTCCATGCCCAAGGAAGGAAAATGGGAAAAGACATATTTCTAATGGTAGAATTGTGTGAATCAAATGCATGGACTGTGAGTATAATACTCAGAAGAACTGTGACTGTATTATTGGTTTGTGTTGAAGTTGCTGTTTTCTTAAACTCTGCTCATACAAGAGTAATTTTGAGTTTTGCATTCTTCTATGTTGAGTTGCTCGTCTTTGAATAAACAAAGGGACTAATTTTCTGGACCTGCACACACTCAACAAACTGCAGTAATAATAACTGTTGTGGAGGAGACGATGTGTTTGTTCAGTGCAGTGTGGTCATAAAATACTAAAACCTTGGATAGCCGTAATACAGTGTGACATCGTGCTATATCTAGGAGATCACAATCTGCAGTCCTTTGAATCTCAAAAATGATAGCAAGAAGAGGGAAACTATTTGTTCCTGGATAAGGGACAATTCCTGGGCCGTATTCAAGCTGGGGTCAGCATTGAAAGCTAAGCCTATACCATAGCTGTGCAGTTGCTTCATTGATGCCCACAAGAAGGTCTGATAGTGTGCCACTTTCACTGCCCCAGTTAAATCTGTTAATACCAATATGTAAATACTACTTGTACAAAAAACATTTTTCCAGAAGGCAGTGTAAATACGAATACATTTATTATGAGTGTCAAGCTTCCTGGCAAGAATTCTGGCATGCTACAGTGTTAGAATAATTTTTTTACATAAAGAAATGTGTAGGCAGCAAGGATTTGGTTTAACTGTAATAATGCAAAGAATACATGCATTATTTATTTATGCCATTTATATGCCACATTTCCCCTGACGTGGGACCCAAGGCAGCTCACAAAGCTATCCCTTTCGGAACCCAAATGCCCCACCGCTTCTCCAAAATCCCCAAATCGATTTTATGATGGTTCCAACTTTCACTAAGGAGTAAATATACTCAGCTCCCCGCTCTAACAAATAGAACAGTGAAGCCTGATTGTGTATTGGGGCACACAATAGACCTGTGCCTGTAGTTACGTGTGTCAGAGCATAGAAACTGGCATAGAACAGTAACTATAAAAACCCACATTGCCTCTATAACATGTTTCAGAAATAATGCCTGCTTAATAGATACGTTTGAAATACTGTAATCAGAAAACCTTTCTATATAATATCCATACCATTTGCTTGCATGATAACGTAATGTCTATTTCTTCATAGGAAAATTATTGGCTAGTTTGGCTCATACACGAGCAGGTATTCCAGAAGCAATTACAAGTTTGGGGACTGTTCAGCGTCTTTGTTACCATTTATATGCAAAGGAGGAAGAGGTAAATCACACCGTGTGTGTTATTGTTGTTTTATTCGCCTCTGTTGGTAGGATGGATCAATCATTTTAGTCATACTTGAGTTGTTCTGAATGCAGTTTCATGACATGCACTAAAAAGCTATACTTAATTAATATGAAGTTACATTGCACTTAGTCCCCCTCAACTGTAATTGAATTTAATAGGAACTTTGCACTTGGTACAAAGACATTTCCTTTCTTTTATCCTTTCCAAACTAAAGAAGAAGGCAAACTGCTCATGGGATAAAACATCTGGAACTATTTTCTTATTTGAAGTGAGTGGACAAGCATATCTGCTATTTCTGTTTTTAAGTTGTATAATCTGAGATCATATGCTATATGGATTTATTACCGATTGTAGGACATTTTGGAATGGTATCTTCAGATATCAAAACAAAGTATATGTCAAAAGAACATGGAACAATTTTCTTTTTTTCTAAATTGTACTCCAAGGAAAAATTAGCAACATACACTTGGCTACAGAAAATTTGGATAGTGCAACTCCCATATCTGCAGGGGATACATTCCTGGACTTTGTGTAGATATGAGACACCACAGATAATAGCAAACCCTATTGAAATGAGGGACTTTGCCACAAGAATATTACAGTGATATGTTGGAGGACCTAGAAAATGTCTGTAGAAGAGATATTTTGCTGGATATGAAACCACGGATACTAGTCCCAAGGATACCAAAGAGGGGTGCCATACTAGAAATGGCCGTCTACATTGTTAATTAACTTTGAAGAAATGGCAGCCAAAGCTGACAGAATGAATGGGAGGGAGTGGACTGACTCCAGAGTGGTTTCTACCATTCTTCAGAATTGTTCTGCTAACCATCTTACTGAAGAATTCTTATATCTCACTATTTGACACAAACATGTCTAGAGCAAAGTTAAAGACCTCAGCCTAACCCCACTATTTTTGGGCTCTTCCCTCACAATTTTCCACTTCTATCTCACCCAGGGTTTTATCATTTTATCTTGTGCATTTGGCCCGCCTATTGTGTTCGACTTTCTATTATGTTATTTTGCACTGGTTTTTTTGTACTATTTATTTTATCTTGCTATTTTACGTATTTTACTGTGATGAAATTTTGTTGTTTTGTATTTTATTTTGTTGTATTGTATCTTGGCTTGGCCTCATGTTAGTCATCCCGAGTCCCCTTTGGGGAGATGGTGGTGAGGTATAAATAAAGATTATGATTATGATTATTATTATGATTATTATTATTATTCAAGTTATATGTGGATGAATAAGAGCTGCTGACCAACCCTGCCAAGAAGCAGGAAATTGCATTCAAAGCACACAGATGGCCATCCAGCCTCTGTTTAAAAGCTTCCAAAGAAGGAGCCTCCACCACACTCTGGGGCAGAGAGTTCCACTGCTGAACAGCTCTCACAGTCAGGAAGTTCTTCCTCATGTTCAGATGAAATCTCCTTTCTTGTAATTTGAAGCCATTGTTCCTTGTCCTAGTCTCCAGGGAAGCAGTAAACAAGCTTGCTCCCTCCTCCCTGTGGCTTCCTCTCACATATTTATACATGGCTATCATATCTCCTCTCAGCCTTCTCTTCTTCAGTAACCTATGGATGTGAGAGCTGGACCATAAGGAAGGCTGAGCGAAGGAAGATAGACGCTTTTGAACTGTGGTGTTGGAGGAAAGTTCTGAGAGTGCCAAACCAGTCCAATCTCCAGGAAATAAAGCCCGATTGCTCATTGGAGGGAAGGATATTAGAGACAAAGTTGAAGTACTTTGGCCACATCATGAGGAGACAGCAAAGCCTAGAGAAGACAATGATGCTGGGGAAAGTGGAAGGTAAAAGGAAGAGGGGCCGACCAAGGGCAAGATGGATGGATAGGATCCTTGAAGTGACTGGACTGACCTTGAAGGAGCTGGGGGTGGTGACGGCCGACAGGGAGCTCTGGCGTGGGCTGGTCCATGAGGTCACGAAGAGTCGGAGACGACTGAACGAATGAACAACAACAACAATCATATCTCCTCTCATCCATCTCTTCTTCAGGCTAAACATGCCCAGCTCCTTAAGCCGCTCCTCATAGGGCTTGTTCTCCAGACCCTTGATCATTTAATTATTGGGTGGGCAGACATAATTTTGGGGAAAACATGCCTGAAACTGGACCTACATGAATGAATAAACAAGAGGTGTCAGGCAGATTTCAGAGCTTCAGAAGTATGCAGCCTATAGGTTGAACTTACCCCAACCCAGTCCACAGCAATTTGGTTGCCACAAATCTACAAATAAACAAATATGATACGATTACCAAATAGGTCTGCTGATAATACTGCAGTGATTGAACACACACTTTTTTCCAGTCAAAAGTTCAGAAGGTAATTATTTATTTGTTATATCACATTTTTCTCCAAATATATGACTCAAAACAACTTATTATTTATTCATTTATTTATATCCCGCTATTTCTCTCCATATGGAGACTCAAAGCAGCTCGCAACTAAAAGCATTATAATATAACTTAAAATATACAATATACAAGTATTAAAACTGTATTGATTATCATTAAAAACATATAAAATCACAGCAGATCCTGATGATCTTTAAAAGCCTGCCTGAATAAAAAGGTTTTAACCTGCTGTCTGAAGAACAGCAGAGAGGAGGCCATGCTGGCTTCCTTGGGAAGAAGGAAAGGAGTTCCAGAGTCTTACAATGTATTGTTGTACATTTTTTCGGGCTATATGGCCATGGTCTAGAGGCATTCTCTCCTGACGTTTCACCTGCATCTATGGCAAGCATCCTCAGAGGTTGTGAGGTGACCTCACAACCTCTGAGGATGCTTGCCATAGATGCAAGCGAAACGTCAAGAGAGAATGCCTCTAGACCATGGCCATATAGCCCGAAAAAACCTACAACAACCCAGTGATTCCGGCCATGAAAGCCTTCGACAATACATTCTTACAATGTAATTTAAAATAGACAAGTGCCTCAAAGCAATTGGTCTCCGAATAAGTATTCCAGTTGTGACTCTATAAATGCTGCACTTAAGCAACCAGAAGAAAATTCTTTTAAAGTCGAACAGAAATAAAATGTCCCTAATAATAATAATAATAATAATAATAATAATAAACTTTATTTCTACCCTGCCACCATCTCCCCGATGGGGATTCGGAGCGACTTACCCTAAATAACCAAGCAGCTTACTAAAAACACTACTATTCTCAATACAATAGAACAAGTAGCAATTTCTTACCTATGAACGAATCCTGTAACCAAATGCTGAAGATGTATCTCAATTGCCAATGCTGTCTTTCAGTTGTCTCCACACCCCTTCAGAAGTATTTTTTATAATAATTAAAAGAAATTACCTACATAAATTATCTGAATGTGTGTTTCTTTCTCTTCCAGGTTCGTACAGCTATGTCGTCTGCTCTGGGTTATTTAACATTCAACCGAACTGCGTACCGCCATCTATTAGTACAATGTCGGAATAAGCCTAAACTATTCAAGAGACTCATAAAGAATCTTAGCAGAGATGCAAGAATCAGTGCAGACTTTGTGAAAGAGTTTAAGAGACAAAAAAAGATTGGCCTCCCTTCCCTCAGGTAAGATTAGAGATTTTATTAGAGGTTTCGTTGACTTTTTAGAAGGCTTAGAATATTGTGGGTTTCTATTTGGTTGTATGGTACTTATTGCTAATGTACGTGAAAATCTAGTTGTAATATGACATATTGCACATATATGTACCCATTCCATGCATCCTATGTTTAAGGATCTTTGTAAATGCTAGGCAACAAAATGTATCATCAATTTAGTTTAGGGAAGATTTTGCAACACAAAATTCTTATTATCACGAGTGAAAAGAAAAAAGAAAGAAAAAAGTGTGACTCCAAATGTAGGGGGTGACAAAACAAAGAAACCCAGAAAGTAAAACTACACGGCACTGGACTACGATTCTGGAGGTCAGGATTCAAAATCCCTTTCAGCCATAGGAATCCAGTCAGTGATGTTGGATAAGTCACACACTCTCAAGGGCCCCTTCCACACAGCTGAATAAACTCCCACATTATCTGCTTTGAACTGGAATATATGGCAGTGTGGACTCGGATAATCCAGCTCAAAGCAGATATTGTGGGATTTTCTGCCTTGATATTCTGGGTTATATGGCTGTGTGAAAGGGCCCTGGGTCCTTCCACACAGCCATATAACCCAGAATATCTCACAATATCTGCTTTGAACTGGGTTATCTGAGTCCATACTGTCATATATTCCAGTACAAAGCCATAAGCAGTGAAGATGTTCAGTGAAAATGAGAAACCATTCAGATAACAGGGAGGTCCATATTCAACTGGTAAACTTGAAATATATGCTAGATTCCCAGAGAGGTTATTTAATTACATCTGCATAGTTAAGTAACATCTCCTGACTCAACTCCTCCTAGCTCATCTTAAGAGCCAGTCTTCAAACTGGGTAAAGGAGGTCCCTTCACCTTCTCATTGGAGCACAAGCTAGTTCATAATTCAAGAAGCTAGTTCTTAAATTGGGCTAGGATGGCATATATATATACAGTTAACAGCAAGTTTACAGAATACAGAACAGTTATGGATCCGTAACTCTAAGTTAGGAATTCATAAATGCAACCTTGAACACCAGCATGAGTTCTTTGTTGTTGTTGTTTATTCGTTCAGTTGCTTCCGACTCTTTGTGACTTCATGGACCAGCCCACGCCAGAGCTCCCTGTTGGCTGTGGCCACCCCCAACTCCTTGGTCGGCCCCTCTTCCCTTTTTCTTCCATTTTACCAAAACCTAAAAATTACTTTCTTCTTCCATTTCATATACTTCAGAGTATTGTGTCTTTAGGATTGCAGCCTAACATCTCAAAATATGCTTCTCATTTTCAGTTTGGAGATAAATGGAGGCCCACCTGCAGTTCCTGTACACATAAGAGGTAATTTATGTCTAACATTACTCCCATTGGCTTGGCAGTTTATGATCCTTTATCATATACATATCCAGATATGTATATGCAGCAGTGTACTGCACAGATGTATCCCTGCAGGTGCTTACTACCAGATCAAACAAAACAAGTGTCCCATTTATTCTACGATGAAACTTGCTGAAAACCTAGAGGAGCGCATGCCCAGTTCTGTTAGCAACAACAGTTGTTTTGAAGGCCCATCTTTGTGAAGCTGACATTAGAAATGGATGCACTGGGATTCCTTGTATGTTTCCAGATGCATAGCTCCCAGCCCAGAAGGAGATCCATGTGCTGAAGTCTCCACCTATGCATCATCGTTTTCTGTTGCTCTACTGATTTCAATAGTTTCACTCAACAACGTGCACACTATTAAGAATCCCCTCTCTTACCAGACTGTATCTAAATGGAAACATTTATTTCCAGCCTTACATATAAGTCTTTTAAAAATATATTAATGGTAGATTATGAAACCCGCTCTAGAGTGAGATTCATCCAAGGCATCTTTGGAAAAACCCTTGAAAAATATTAGTGGTGGGGAGGAACACTAGGTTTTTTTTCCACCTAAAGATAAATGACAGCTTTAAACAATTTTTTGAATGAAAAGGTTTTAAAGATATCACAGAATGCCAGGAGCTACTTTCATGTGTAGACTATATACAGTCTACATAAGTAGAGGATGATAATACACTTTAGGTAAAGGGTCATTCCATGCCAAATGGGCTAAAAAAAAATTAAGTTCCCACCATCATGTTCTCCAATTTTGTTCAAATTTTAGCTGTAGCACCAGTCAAGTGTTAAACTAAATTTCCCAAAATTTGAGGTTTCTAACAGCAATAATAGCTGATCTAAACCCCCTTATCTGAAGGGTAATCAGTCAGCGTGCGCACAACATTTAAGAAAATGCCAAACTAAATGTATAAGAATGGATAGTAAATTGAAATCTATTTACTCAGGTCAAAGTATATTTTGTGCATTTAGGCATTATACTTTATGCATTCTCGTGGTCCTGTTAGTTACTGCATGACTATTAGGCGTGGCCCTTATGGTGATGGGGATCCTGGTTTCAATGTGATATATTACACACTTTGACCTGAGTAAATGGATACTTAATGGTCACATTGCAAATCAAAAACGTAGCAGTCATGTAGAGCATTTTTTTTTTCGTTCAGATGATATTATTCACAAGCATATTTAGGTTGACTCTTTCAATATTTGGCTTTGAATTTTGGTAGATTTTACCATTTGCACTATAAGTGCCAAATTTAAAGAGATCCTGCAGGGCGGTTATAGATGTTGAGTAGTTGTAAATCTGGCAGTATTATGTTCAGCACAAGCATAATGCTTGGTCAAAATTTCAAGTCCATATCTTTGTTTGCATGAAAATTGTTATAGTCTGAATATTGGTCAAAATTTGTCGCGACACATTTTGATGCACACTTTGAGTCAACTTATTTACTCGATTTTGCATCCATAATGTTAAAATTAATTTCATCGGAATCAGCAGGAAAAACTGTACAGGATTTCAATTTACTATCCAGTCTTATACATTTAGTTTCAATTCTATTAGACCTCAATAATTGGCATTTTCTTAAATGTGCACACGCTGACTGGCTACCCTTCAGATAAGGGAGTTTAGATCAGCACTACTGCAGTCAGAGACCTCAAATTTTGGGAAAATTAGTTTTAACATCTGACTGGTGTGACAGCTAATATTTGAACAAAATTGGAGAATAGGACAGTGAGAAGGTTTAGACCACTTGGCATGGAATGACCCTATATTCAACATTAAACCAGTATGTGTTCTTTTATTTAGTAGGTAGTAAAGGTAAAGGTTTCCCTTGACATGAAGTCTAATTGTGTCCGACTCTGGGGGGTGGCACTCATCTCCATTTCTAAGTCAAAGAGCATTGTTCGTAGACACCACCAAGGCCATGTGGCCAACATGACTGCATGGAACACCGTTATCTTCCTGCCAGAGTGGTACCTATTGATCTACTCACATTTACATATTTTTGAACTGCTACATTGGCAGAAGCTGAGGCTAACAGTGGGAGCTTCCCCCGCTGCCCAGATTTGAACCGCAGACCTTTTGGTCAGCAATTGCTGAAACTATCACCTTTCGTCCGTGTCCCAGCATTATTTCCATTTTAACTTTACATTTGACCTTCCCACCGTTTTTAATTGCATGTTGTCTTATTGATAATGTTGTATATTTTATTGTCTATGTTTTTATTTTAATTGCTTGTATTGTTGTTGTTTTGCTTGTATTTTTGTATTCGGGCTCGGCCTCACGTAAGCTGCACCGAGTCCCTTGGGGAGATGGTAGTGGGGTACAAATAAAGTGTTGTTGTTATTATTATTATTATTATTATTATTGTTATTATTATTATTATTATTATTATTAATTGCAGCAGCTCAGCAGTTTAACCTGCTGCGCCACCAGGGGTTCCACTTAGTGGGTGCTATAGCTTAAATGTTTTGTCTAATTAAAGCACATAATTTTGAGACCTTCTCTTGAAATCTGGAATTTCTTATGCCACAGAACTGCCTCAAATATTCTGCAGATGATGCTTTCAGTGTATAAATGAGTGATTTTTATTTATTTATTTATTTGCTTTCTAGACAAATCAAGGGGCACTGGTGTGAAAGTGCACAAGGGAAAGTGTATTCCAAAGGATTCTCTCTTTTTGCTGCCCACAGCAGCTCATCTAATGGGAAGGTTCAGACATTTGGAGAAACCCCGAATTCCAACTACTGGACACTACACTTTTCCACATGCCACAACATCAGACCTCATTCAAGTTTCAAGACCAAGAATTATGAATGCCTTTACACTCTGGGGACATTCGCCAGAAAAGAAAAATTGAGTACAATGCCTGCACTGCAGTGGCCAAGTTTTTGTGGATACCTTCTTAGCCTATAGTGGAATTAGGATGAACATTACTCCTGAAAAAATCAATTTATTAGTAATGCAAGAATTTACTGCAGTGGTAGAGAATAAACACATCAGCAATTAAATTTCTGAAAAGTAATTTACATGCAGTTTCAGAAAAGGAAAAGCTGAGATGTTATTTCTTTTAATGCTGATGTTTTAACAGTTTTTGATTGCAATCATATATGCAGTTATTAGGGGGAAAAGATTACACTGAGTCAGTTGCTTACACCTTATTGCTAGTCCCAGCTAGAGCAAACTCAATGGAGTTGATATTGATATAATCTTCAGCACTTGATTCAATGAGACTAATCTATCTGGGACTATCAATTGGATTTAAGACTGTATGTCCTACTCCAGGGTAAATTACTGGCTATTTCCATGTCCAAACCAGATGCTACTGCTACATAATGTTCTTTTGATGCTCAAACCACAGTTGACCCAGGAGAAAATATGGTAAGGCTTTCAATGTCACTCTCATTTCTACTAAACCTGACAAAACTGGCCAATGTAGGATAATGATGAAACCAGTCGTATACTCTTTTAAATTGTGTTTTAATATTACAAAACTGTGGGCATATCAGATTTGTTAAACTTCAGCCAATAAGATTGTGATAACTTTCCCTATTAACACAATTGTAAAGATTTGCCTGGGCAAAGTTAAGCACTTCTAAGTTTGACCAGTTTTAGGAGGTGAGAAGAATACTATTAAACTGTGAAAAGAAATGGATTTAAATGAGCCAAATAATGCAAGATTATGCCCAGATGACAATCTCAACTTTTACCATATTTGGAGGTTCAAAGGTTCACGTAAGATATGTCTTTTGTACCTTCTTGTAGAAGCATCGGACTCAATCTGGAAACAAAGCTGGGTCATCACCATGAAGACATACTTTCAAATTAGTTTTAATTTTAATGGAAAGAACAGGATGCTTACATGTAACAAGCCCCCTCCCTCACTTAATCTGAATCCCTCTGTGCCTCATGAGGTGCGTCTACACTGCAAAATGAATGCAGTTTGACACCACTTGAACTGGCATGGCTCTATTGCAGTGGTGAGGCACCAGCACTCTTTGGCAGGGGAGGCTCACGACCTTGTGAAACTACAAGATTCCAAAGCATTCAGCCATTGCAGTTAAAGTGGTTGGCTGCATTCATGCCACATTCATCCATTCCATGTTGCCGCGCCCAAAGAGAATGGGCAGGATGGAAGAAGTGTGTATATCCACAACATGTGATATAACAAATATGTCAAGACCTCTGGAGAGCAATGGTGGATCTCAACATTGATGAAATTCGGGGGCTCTGTGGCTCAGCCTGGTGTGGGTCTGCATGCAGAATTACTGCACTATAAGCATCATACAAATGAAGCAACACCTCTACCTACATGGTAGGTACCACATTACAATATACAGACAGTCATCAAGTTATGAACAAGATAGGTCCTGTAGGTTTGTTTTTCAGCTGAATTTCAATGCAAGTCTGAATAGATAATTTTTTCAAGGGTAACTCTAGATATCTATCTATCTATCTATCTATCTATCTATCTATCTATCGTTGGATAGCACAGGAAAGGATTAAAACCCCTGTGAAGTTTGTTCTGCTGTTTGTGCCCCTTGTCGGAAAATTTCGCCTCACTTTCTGCCCCTGTGAGAATTGGATTTTGAAAGATTTGGCTTGTTGTGGAAACAAGGATTTGTAATAAAGCTTCAGTGGAGACACCTTTTCCCCATGATAATAACAGTTCCAGGAATTATTTTCTCTTCTTAGATGTAGATTAAAGTGCAATACATTTTTCATTTGCATTTGATCAACTGAAGGCGGGAAGCCGCGAGAGAGGAGAGACAATGCCAAGTTCAGAAGTGATTTCTTTGTGTTTGTGATATTTCAGCTTTTCATTGTGAGACCCAAAATAGATCTCTGATAGTATGCAATATCCCAGCAACTGTATATTAGAGAGGTTGTAAGGTTGAATGTAACTGATAGAAAATTCTTGAGAAAATCCATCTGATGGTAAAAGCATTCAATTTTCACTAGTATTTCAGAATATCAGATGTAAAATCTAGTGTTGGCACTCGGATGGATGCTTCTTTGACTTGGTTCGAGATATCAATTCCAAGAGGTGCTCTAAGAAAAACAACTGATTAATTTTACTATAAAGCCATTTATAGTTATATTATAAATAATAAGGCGCACAAATCAATTAGCTGGCATTATCAATACATATATGTTGGTTTCTGTAGGATCTCATGAGCAATGAGGAATACTATGTACATATTTCTTAGCATTCTTTTACCCAGCTAGAATTCAGCTAGCATATCCAATGTTGCACTGCTATATTTTTTGTGTTCGTACACTGTATCCACACATTTCAAGAGTATATTGATTCCAGAATAATTACACTATATAAGAAAAAGGTTAATAAAAAAGCATGTGAAATAATATAGATTAGGAACATCATATCATAGATTAGGCCTCCCTCAGTGTGGTTACTAAAATATGGAAGAACTGAATATGTGATTCCTTCCTGTTATCCAGAAGTGATTCCATGTTTGCAGAGAAACTCTGCCATATTGTAATGATGTCCTAGCAAACAAAGGTTCAGGGTTCTGTCAAATGAAATTACTGCCCAGTGGCCCAATGGGTTAAACTATTGTGCTGACATGCAAGCGGTTTGAATTCAGGGAGAGCAGGCTGAGCTCCCTTTGTTAGTGCCAGCTCCCAATGTGGGAACATGAGAAAAGCCTCTCACAAGGATGGTAAACATCAAACATCTGGGCGTCCCCTGGGCAACGTCCTTGCAGACGGCCAATTCTCTCACATCAGAAGCAACTCACAGTTTCTCAAGTCACTCTTGTACCAAAATGTTTTAATTGAGAATGAGAAGTTCTGTTAGCCCTCTTTAACTTTGAATCAGTCTGCAAACATAGTCCCAGCAAGGATCTGGAATTATTTCTCTGGGAGTGAAAAAGTCAGAAACATGGCTAGGAACCCAGAAAAAAGCACTGACAGACTAAAAACATCCATTTTCTTTTTTTTCTAAAAATGGCAGTCTCTATATAATGTTTCCAAGTTTAGAATTATAACTAGGCCATTAGAAGAACAGATGAAAAGCTACATAAGGAGAAAAAATGAAAGAAGAAAAGAGAGGACCCCCCCCCCCCATTTTCCTTCTTTTACATTGTGATAAAGAGTATGCTAGAAGTATCCAGTCACATGCTATCAACAGGTTTCATATGGAGGGTTGGAGGCTCTTCTGAAATCCAAGATTTCAGATGTATATTGGGAGTGATAGGAAGGGAAGGGGAAAGTAAACCAAAATTTATTTACATGAGCAGGAATATACTTGCATGACACTACTACACGGAGACTGGAGCTAACAACACTGAGACAAATTGATAAATGTAGTTAACTTACTTTGGTTCATATCTTATGCCTTCTGTATTATGAAAAATACCCAATCCTGCAGAAAGTCTTTCAATACCATTCCTAAAGAGAGAGAATACTTATGTAAAATATATATAACCAACCAGTTCATTTCTTTCTCATATGACTGTGAATGCTGTACAATCATAATGATGTAACTTGGAGATATTTATTTCGTATCAAAAGCATTGCATACATTAGTATAATAACTTGGAGATAATTTTTAGTCAAGCTCTGACAGGGTTTTGTGTTTCTCTAAGATATCCTTCTTTCAAGCTTATAATCATTCAACTGGAGACCGTATCAGAGAATACATATTTTCCTACAATGAAACAATGTACTACTGACTGTGCTATGAATTTACATTTCTGTTTGGTAAACAGAGGCCCACGGGGTACCATTTTGAGAAGAAAGCACAGGGAAAATTTTAAAAGGCGCAGAGAGGAGAAAGCTGTGTTCTCAATCTGTTAAGGCAAAGAAAAAAGGATAGAAATATATGAGTAAAAGAACTTGAAAGAACTTTTCATAAGACGTTCCTTCTTGTGTCTAGTACAGGAGCAATTAGAAAAAAAACCAGAAAAGATATTTATTACATACATACATACAGTATATGAGTAATTGTATGCTAATTGGTTATTTGGATTTTTTTCCTGATGAATAAATATAGTGGGGTTATTATATAATGATGTAAAGCCATTTTTCATAGCCAATCAACAGAGCTTAAATAAGCAAGGTTATAAATTGCTGTTCAAGTTGCTATAGAAAAAACTGTATCTTAGGAAACTATTTTCAAGGAGTTTCTCCCCCTCTCCATTTTGCAGAGTGCCCAAATTACAGGTTGATTGATTTCCTATATTTGGAGGGGTCTTTTAATCCCAAAATTTGCTGTAACACTACTACAAAAATGGTGTCTCCAGCTTCACCACATTGCTCCATAACTGTGCTACTCATTCAGAAGGAAACATTCTCACTTACCATGCGATCATGATCCCATTGTCGGTGCAGAGCCTTGGCGGGGGACAAGTCACGTTGGTGTCAGTGGCATTTCCTACGATCTGCAGAGCTTTGCGAATATACTGATTACTTCCAACACCTCCTGAAACTACCTGAAAAGAGTGTTGAAAGTCAAAGGAAATGTATCTATAATGCTTGAATTCACTAAATAAGAAATAAAGCAACATACAGACAATAGATATGTATGTTGCTATATTTCTTATTTAGTGAATCCAAGCATTATAGATAAGAATAACACCCAAAGAAGATATTACAAATCTCATTATATTGCATTTAACAATATTTGAGTTACTATTTCTGACGTCATGTACTTATGAAGAATCTCCTGGTATATAGCAATTGTTATTTTGGAAGCTTACGTTTTATTGTGTTGACAAAATATTGATAAACTATCTTTCATTTATAAACAGTTACTAATTAATCGTGTTAATGTTCCCACGTTACATTTAATGAAGAATTTCCTGTAATATAGAAATTGTGATTTGCAATCTGTAGTTTTTGTATTTGTTGTTATAGATATCTATGAATGTTATACATACACAGAAAAAGCAGAGCACCATGTTTGATTATTCTGTACCAGGAGTTTTATAGTGGACCATAATAATTAAGTTAAACTTTCACACATGCAATCAAATCTTCTTTCCCCCTTTACTTTCCCTTCTCCCTCCTAGCTCTATCCTTCTTTGTTTCTCGCTGTTACTTTTTGTTCCAAAAGAATCCTGTTTTTCCAAAACAATCTTTCCGTGCAACTTCCCTCCTTCCATCTTTTTCACTTCATACTGATGTAGTTAAGACTGGTTTATGACAAAGTATTCAATTATATGCCAGCCTAAATGTCTGATACATGAACATACATATTAGGAAAACACGTGTTTACCAAAGTTGCATTCTTCTGTGGTAAGATACACTTCCTTCTGCAGAAGAGGATGGCCCGGTGTGTTCGCTTAGCAATGTGAGCAGTGACCGCATACTGGACTGAAGCAGCAAAGTCTGAGACACAGGAGAGTAGCTGACCTTCCTGAAGGCCTGCAGAAATTATGGTCAAAAGGGTTTTCCAAGCATACGTACCACATTCACAATTTCAACTAGAACGATTCAGGAAAATACCTTCTGTCCTTTCTTTCTGTTCAATCATTCTAATAACCTGGCTTTGAAGACCAGCAAAGGAGAAGTTGCAGTCAACATGTCGTTCCATAGGGATTTTGAATTTATAATACAGCCCATTTCCCTGTTGGGCCAGTTTTTCTATTGCTTTCCCACCACTCAAACCAGAGCAATTTGGGTGCTTTTGTAAAGAAAGTCTTCTAGATACCTTAAAAAAAAAAACAGAAACAGTAAACATACATGTTAGATTTTTAAGACAGTCAAGGGGATTGATTAGCAGAGGGGCACCCTAAATAAATTTTTAACAAGGAAAAATATTTTTAAAAATCTTAAATAACTTATGTATTTATTTATGTCTTTACTAGTTTGGTGTCATGGCTTGAACGCTGGACTACAAATCTAGAGTCCAAGAATTAAATCCCTGCCTAGTTATGGAAACCAACTGGGTGACCTTGGGCAAGTCATTTCCTCTCAGCCACAAAGGAAGGCAAAAGCAAATTCCTCTCTCATTAAATCCTGCCAAGAAAACCCTGTTGATACGGCTGCCTTGAGATCCCCATAAATTGGAAACAACCTGAAGTGACATGGCAACAACAAATGATATGGATACATGTGTGACATGGTGTGCAATGATAGGGATACATGTGTGACATGGCATGCAATCTTCTCTGCTACTGTTGAAAACAGTAACAATAAAAAAGTTGTTTGGCAGACCTAGTTGTTAGCAGTACATGGATTGTTCTGGCTGGTAGCCAATGATGAGGTATAATGGGAGTGATCATTCATGAGCATGTGGAGGGACAAAGGTTCTCCATCTCTTATTTATATGTGTGATTCAAGATACAAACATTGAGGAAACACAGGTCATTATTAGTACATGAATCATGAGAACAAGAGTCTAGCTGTCTCCTCTGAGTTTCAGCTTATCATGGCTGGAGGTGATGAAAGCATGAGGCCCTCCTGGGGAAGTAAAATTGTTCCCACATTTTGCTAGATCAACAGAATCACCGGCAATAATCTTTGAGAACAGGAGAAGTCCCAGCAGACTGGAGGAGGGCAAATCTGCCTCTATCTTCAAGAACGGAAAAACGAAGGACCCAAACAATTGCCATCCAGTCAGCCTGACATCAATACCAGGAAAAAACCTGGAGCAGATCATTAAGGAGGAAGTCTGCAATCACTTAGAAAGGAATGCTGTGATTACTAAAGGTCAACATGGATTTCTCAAAAAAAAAAATCATGACAGACTAATCTTATCTCTTTTTCAAGTTACAAGCTTTGTAGATGCAGGGAATGCTGTGAATGTAACATACTTGATATCTTGATTTCAGTAAGGTCTTTGACAATGTCCCCCATGACCTTTTTGCAAACAAAGTAGTCAAATGTGGGTTAGGCAATGCTACTGTTAGGTGGATCTGTAGTTGGTTAAGTGAATGAACCCAAAGGATTCTCACCAGATGTTCATCTTCATCCTGGAAAGAAGTGACTAGTGGAGTGCCACAGAGTTCGGTCCTGGGCCCAGTACTGTTCAACATCTTAATGACTTAGATGAAGGTTTAGAGGGCGCACTTATCAAGTTTGGAGCTGACACCAAATTAGGAGGGATAGCTAAGCCCTCCAGAGGATAGGATCAAAATTCAAAATGTCCTAGAGAGCTGGGCCAAAACTAACAAAATGAATTTCAACAAGGACAAATGTAAGAAAAAGATCTTGGAGTCTTCATGAACAACAAGTTGAACATAAGCCATGGGTGTGATGCAGCAGCTAAAAAAAGCCAATGATGTCTAGATCGAGGGAAGTCATGGTGCCTCTCTATTCAGCTTTGGTTAGACCTCATCTGGAAAACTGTGTCCAATTCTGGGCACCACAGTTCAAAAGAGATATTGACAAGCGGGAAGGTGCCCAGAGGAGGGAAACGAAAATGATCAAAGGTCTAGAGACCAAGCCCTATGAGGCGCGTCTTAAAGAACTGGATATGTTTAGCCTACAGAAGAGACAGTTGAGGGCATGATCGCCATGTATAAATATGTGAAAGGATGCCATAAGAAAGAGGGAACAGGCTTGTTTTCTGCTGTCCTGGAAACTAGGACTTGGAGCAATGGGTTCAAATCACAGAAAAGTAGATTCCACCTGAACATTAGGAAGAACTTCATGACTGTAAGAGCTATTCAGCAGTGGTACTCTCTGCCTTGGAATGTAGTAGAAACTCATTTCTTGGAGGCTTTTAAACAGAGGCTGGGTGGCCATCTGTAGGGGGTGTTTTGATTGTGCCTTTCCTGAATATCAGAAGGTTGGACCAGATGGCCCATGTGGTCTCTTTCAGCTCTATGATTCTATGAACAGCCTTGATGAGTGGAGTTCTTGATGAGGGGCGTTCTGTATCAGCCACTGTTGAGTATGGAATAATTAGAATCAATCCATAATTATGGCCTAGTATGTAGAAGCAGCAGGCAGCAGAAGAGGAAAAAGATCCTTCTTTCACTTAGTTTTTTGTTTTCTCCCAGGTATCAGGAAAGTTGTGAGAGAAGGTCAGTGGCTTCTCCAGTCTCCGATATGGCAGTTATAATATTCATCCCTTATCGAATAAACTTGCAAAAACCACCATGTAGCTCAACAAAATCTTATGAAAGAAACATTTCCACAAACATTTCCTGAGAAAGCAGAATTCTCTCAATATAGCCGTATGCTTTTATGAAAAGAAAAATTTAAGTTTAAATTAATACAGAGTAGTTTTCTAGCAAGACTGGCCCATGCGAACTGAATTACCTTATCCAGCATGTCCCCTGGTGCAATGTCCAAAGTCTGTCCAAGGAGAAGGAAATCCGCTACTCCTTGTGCTACTGCCAATATACAATGACCTCCAGACAGCAAAAGGACCAGGAATGGAAACTCTACAGAGTCGGTCAGTCTAACAGTCAGCGCATGTGCCTCCATATGATGGATGGGGATGAAGGGCTTCTTGTATTTCTGTACCAGTCCTAGACTGTAGTTCAACCCGACTCCAAGGCTCAGAGCAAGCCCTGGTTTCACAGTTGTCGCAATAGCAGAGAGGTCATCCATGCAAACACCACTGAGAGAAAGTGCTTGCTGTACTATTCTCTCAATGTTTTCTTGGTGAAGCTGTTGTGCTACAGGAGGAATAATTCCACCTGTCCTAATTAAAAGTAAACACAGACATAACAATCAGTTGGCTCCACTTTAAAACTCAAATGTGGATGTTAATATCCTGGCTTGTCATTCTTTTTTCCCCTAACTTCTCTTACTCAGTTGTTTGTATAGTCTACTGTTTCAGTAAGGCCTCCCTCTCTCTGGCTCTGTCTGGGCTTCCAAGCCAGTTACAGCAATGAGATAACAATCGGTTATGCTCCTTTAGATGGATGGCGAGGAGAATTGTTGTATTTCCTTGTACCTTTTTAGTCTGCTGTCAGATATTGATGCTACATTGTGAACTGCAAATACTTCTACAAAGCTGAATTCTGCTTTCTCCAATCAAGGATGTCTCAGGTCCCTTCTAAACTGTCCTATATCCCAGGATCTGATGCCAGATTATCTGCTTTGAACTGGATTATATGAGTCTCCACTGCTAGATAATCTGGGATAAGAAGATAATCTGGGATCGGATCCTAGGATATAAGGACAGTGTAGAAGGGACCTAAGTTTTGCTTGGATATGGATTCTCAACCACTGGAATATATGATTGCCTATAGCCTGCATCAGTCAACAACCTGGCTGCATCATTTCTGACCTGTTGTTTTGAAACCCTTAATGAAGAATGCATTACAGTAATTCAAATGTGATGTAATCAAGGAAGTCAGTTCAAATGTCTCAATAAATGGGTGCAGCTAGAATATCAATTTTAACGTCCATAGCCAATTACAGCTCTGATTTTGACCCATAAATCTAGAAACAATCAGAGTCTTGCATCCATCAATCAAAGAGGAGGTGTACAATGTGACCCATTTATTCATAAAAATCAGAGGCCTTGTGTAGTAAAGGATATCATAATATATATTACTGAACTTTTTCTCGATAAAGGAAATCCGAAGTTGAACTGTACAAACTTCTAGATGATACATTCTAAGAAAGGCATTTTGTGTTGTTCTTTCCATATTTGCCAAGAAGAGTATAGACTGAGATGTTACTTATGAGATGTTTCCCCACTGGATTCTCCTGCTGTTATAGAGTATTTTCTACTGCAAGATTTTTCCAAAAAATGTTTCATATAGTGAAAAATATTTATTTATTTATTTATTGCATATATTTCTATCCCACCCTTCTCCCCACAAGAGGACTCAGGGTGGTCTTAATAATTCTAGAATATCCAGCATTTCCCCCAAGGATGCTAGATATCTTTAAAAGACATGGATTTGTTGCCAGCACATCTATTTTAAAAACTCTGATGCAGATAATCAACAACACAGCAAACACTTTGTAACAAAATTTGAAAAAAATGTTCCTGGTTTGAAAGAGTTGTTTCCTGTTTAATTGTGCAGTATTTAATTTGAAAGTAGTTTGTCTACTCCAGAAACTTTGCTTTTGTGACTGCCACAAACTATGTTGAATTGTATTGTCAAAGGCTTTCATGGCTGGAATCACTCAGTTCTTGTGGGTTTTTTCGGGCTATATGGCCATGTTCTAGAGGCATTTCTCCTGACGTTTCGCCTGCATCTATGGCAAGCATCCTCAGAGGTGAGGTCTGCTGGAAATGGGAAAAAAGGGGTTTATATATCTGTGGAATGACCAGGGTGAGACAAAGGGCTTTTGTAAGTTGGGCAGGGTGTGAATCTTTCCACTGACCACCTTGATTAGCATACAATGGGCTGACAGTGCCTGGAGCAAACTCTTCTTGAAAGGTGATTAGATGTCCCTGCCTGTTTTTCTCCCTTCTGTTTTACTGTTGCAGTTTTAGAATTTTTTAATACTGGTAGCCAGATTTTGTTCATTTTCATGGTTTCTTCCTTTCTGTTGAAATTGTCCACATGTTTGTGGATTTCAATGGCTTCTCTGTGTAGTCTGACATGGTGGTTGTGAGAGTGGTCGAGCATTTTTGTGTTCTCAAATAAAATGCTGTGTCCAGGTTGGTTCATCAGGTGCTCTGCTATGGCTGATTTCTCTGGTTGGAGTAGTCTGCAGTGCCTTTCATGTTCCTGGATTCTTGTTTGGGCGCTGCGTTTGGTGGTCCCTATGTAGACTTGTCCACAGCTGCATGGTATACGGTAGACTCCTGCAGAGGTGAGAGGATCCCTCTTGTCCTTTGATGAACGTAGCATTTATTGGATTTTCTTGGTGGGTCTGTAGATAGTTGTAGGTAGTGTTTATTCATCAGCTTCCCTATGTGGGCAGTGGTTCCCTTGCTGTATGGTAAGATTACTTTTCCTCTGGGTGGATCTTTGTCTGTACTCTCATGGCTTGTTCTTGGTCTTGTAGCTCTTCTGACATCCTCCTCTGAGGATGCTTGCCATAGATGCAGGCGAAACGTCAGGAGAAATGCCTCTAGAACATGGCCATATAGCCCGAAAAAACCCACAAGAACTGTATGTTGAATTGTTTGAGACTCTAATGAAATATTCATTGAAAAACTGTAGCAAAATGTGCTTCAGGATGTCTTGCAAAAACCTTTTCAATGTTTTTATATTTGAACCAATTAGGAAATGACATTTATGGCCCAGGAACAAAAAACGTGTTATGTAGTGTAATCATTTTACTTAAATAGCACTCAAAAAGCATCTTTGCCAACAGTAAAACTTACTTACTTTAAATGAACTTCATTTTGAGAATGTAGTGCTTCTCCTAAAATGTTGCCAGTTTCATCCACCACAGCAGCTCCTGTATCATCACAGCTAGTTTCTATCCCAAGAACTATTCTAGTAAAAGAGCATTTCTCACAGTGAAGAGAGATCCTTCTCAAATGATCTATCCAGCAATATTTTGGGTACTTAGACATTATTCCTCCCAAACTGCTCACCGCTAAAGATTTCAGTAGATGAGTGTGCCTAGAAAGGAACTGTACCAAAAAAAAAAAAAAAAAGTTTAGACTTCCTAGTGGTTACTAACTTGCCCAGGCTCTCTGCTTCATACAAAACAAGAAAGTTGTTCTGACAGAACCCATCTCCTGGTTACAAGAGAAATTATGATGCCTGGAATGGTGTGTGGAGCTGCTACCCAATGTGGCAGTATTTATGGAGTATAAAGTGCACAGCTATACTGGAAATATTTACATGAAAGCAGGCATCAACCACATAGACAGGCCTGTGGTACATTCCCTCTACCTCGTCAGAAGCCATTTTTACAGACACATGTCTCATGTGAATTCCTGTTATGGACACTCATGTCAATGTGGTTGCAACCAATATATGTGACATGTAACTTGGTAGCACTAACATTCCCTGACAGAAAAGCAGATAGGGAACTGAGACTAGAAAACCATGAATCTATGTCTTACCTGATTAAAAAATAAATCATGTTCTACACATCTTACATTTGCTTCCCTACAGAAGTGGTTTTCTTGCATCTAAGGAAATATATGGGAGCAATATCTTCAGCTAAAACAAAATTTGCAGTGCTTTCTCCTTGCTTTCGTGGATACCTCTAAGAGTGTGATTGTATAAATGTCATAGCCTCTTATTGGATAGTACTATATAACCAGTAATACTTGTAGTATGCCAATGCTAATGGCTGCTAATAATGATGGCAGTTTGTTTTTGTGCAGCTGTGGGGGTATTTTGCTAAATATTATTATTTTGAAAATTGTTCTGGAACTGCTTTATGACAGAAAGGAATAAAAAAAATTAACCAGTTTACACCTGTTATATTGTAGTGACAATTGATACAAAATAAACATGACCATGTGATACAAAATAAACATACCCAATTTGTAAACAATGTTATCATTTTTGTGTTCAACGTAGAATTTTAATACCCCAGTTAGCTGAATGCTTCCTTCTGTACCTAGGATCAGTGGTAGGATGTGATCAATACACAACAAATAAACTCCATCACACCACCTGGAAAACACTATTCCAGAAGGGTAATTTGCTATGATTCAAGAACTGATAAGAAAATATATCATCTCCTAATTCAATTATGGTAAGTCATACTTTGAGATAGACCAAGCATCTGAAAGTAAAAGAAAGCTGACCTGCATGTATGGAAGACAAATGCAGTTTTTACCTGTGCAAGAAGAAACATGATGCAAGATTGGTGTTTTCTTTTAAAGCTTTCCAGTGCAAGTTTTATATTTCACAGCCATGGACTGAGGAAGAAATAGCTTGATAAACATCTGGAATAAGGCAAAAAGCAATTCAAATGTAATACCATAAACTGTGTACAGGGTAAATATCTTCCAGCCCAGCCCAGGAAAAGCCAGTGGTGGTCATGAAACTCCATGTAGTCTTCAAGGCTTTTCTGCACCTCTGGCCTTCTCCTGTCTTCAGAAGAGGGTTAAAAGCCTCTTCCAGACATTACTGCATAGGATACTATAAGGGAGCCTATAGGCATCAAGAAAAGTTTCTGCTGCCTTCTTTCTAACAGCTTGGGAATAAAGCTTAGAGTTGATTCTCATTGTCTACAATTCTCACAGTTCCTAGTAGTTTTAGCTCAAGGCACCTAGACAACACCATAATACTACCCTAGAAGTATGGCTACTAAAGGAATCAGGAGAATGAATCTAGAGAAGATAGACAGCTACTTTTAAATGTATTGACAGAATATAATTCAGAGCAATCAGAAAAGTAACACCGTTGATAGCTCCTCTAGTCTACCTTTTTCAAGAGGCTTCATAGCTGTAACTCTTTTAAAAATATTTTCTTTAAAACTCCATAGCTGTATCTCAAAAAGCAACTTCTTGTCAAGGCAGCCACTGTGGTGTAGTTGACTGGATACTGTACTATAAAAAACTCCGGAGACCAGGATGTGAATTCCCACTCAGCTTGGGCAAGTCACACTCTTTCAGCCTCAAAAGAAGGCAAAGGTAAAAACCTGCTGAACAATCTTGCCAAGAAATCCCCATGATAGATTCACTGAAGGGCTTTACATAAGTTAGAAACAACATGAAGGCACACAGCTGCAGGACATGTTTATTACCATGTGAAATACCTTAGTGTACACAGTACACTACTTTGCCTTTTTACTCTGAACTAAACAGTTGGTACCCGATGTGGATCAGGGCCACTGTATGCAAGTGAGAAAGATTTAAAGCTCACTTCTTATCTATACCAAGAAGCCCCTTTCCTCGGGGCTAAAAACATCCTTCCCTAATGAAAATGGAGACTGTCTACTTAAAAGAAAACAGCTCCTACAGTGAATGGAGATTTCAAGGAGAAAGGCAGCTTGGGGGGAAAAGCCAACCTAAAATGTATGCACATTTAACACAACTGAAATAGCAGGATAGTCAACAAAGGGAGGTGGACTCTGTTTCCCATGATTTATCTCTTCCACATCTTAAATGATGGGAAAAAACACAATGTCAGGTTTTTTTGCTTGCTCTATTAATTATGAGCATGTAAACTCTGATGGCAATTTGTTGTGTTACTTTTCTTAATTAGCCCCAGAGGCAGTGAAGAGCACAAAGCAGTGCATCCTCCATCCCATAATGCCGTATGGACACTCCAAAAATATCATGGTTTTGAGGTTCCAGTGAGTTTTGGTTCAGCTCAAGCTGAGATGCTGTCACACATCCAAGAAGTACATGCCCACACAAGGGAAGCTGAGCAACACATATTTGGCAGCGTCTAAAGGAATGCTGTTATGTACAACTATGTTTTGCTTAGCTATGCATTATTTGACATCACATACATCACAATCCTGGACATGTCTAGATAAGTCTGTACAGTCTTGAAGCTGAAGAACATTGAGACAAAACCTGGTATGACAGAAACCAACTGTCTGAGGAAAGGCAACAAGCTAAACACAATAGATATTGGGGTTAAATTAAATGACTGAAAATGCATTCAAGAAGGCAGAGCAAATCAACTCATCTCCTCTTGTACAAGAGCAGAGGGTTCAAGAAAGACAAATCACAAACTAACTTTAACATGTAAAGTGAACTCGTAAATTTCCTTCCCAAATCATATAAACATGGGCAGATTCTTCCAATCTAATCAAGGGAGGCTGAGACATACAACTCAAACATCCTTTACTAAGAATTCTGAACTTCAAAACATCCCAAAATCCAAAATTTTACACATGGCTTGTTGAGATAGTGACACCTTTGCTTTCCAATGGTTTGATGTACACAAACTTTGTTTCATAAACAAAAATAATATAAATATCATATAAATTTACCTTCAATCGACGTTCTACAACATATGTGTAACATCATCTGAAACATAAATAAATTTAGACATGAGTCTCATCTCATCATTAAGGGGTGTATTGCAAATATGAATATTCCAAAATCCCCAAAACCCAAAGCATTTCTGGTCTCAATCACTTTGGATAAGGTATACTCAACCTGAATAAGGAGCAATCCAAATGTCAAGGCCAGTCAAAAAAGCCGCATCACTGCTTGCTCTCAGGGAAAGGCACCCACTCATAAGCCTGGAGTGAGGCGCTAAAATCCTATCTGCAGCCCAAAGAGATTTTAGTTTAGCCTATTTAATTTTGGCACCTTACTACTGACTAGTGCAGCCCTGCTATATGTCAACATGCCATTTTAGGTACATACACAAACACAAGCTTTAGTGGACTAGAATATACTAAATGAAGGTGTAATGAAATGACATTAAACCCACAAGAGTGTATGCTAGTCTTTGAGGCGCTGTTATGCTTGATGCAGCAAAGAGATGACAGATCATTCCTCTGAATCAAAATATTTATTGAGGATTAAGACTTTGTTGTTCTTGTTTGACCAGTTGTGCCTCTAATACCTTAATCTTTGGCCTCACCTTCCCTGTGGCATAGAAGACATGTAACCAAAGGTACAGTAGACCTTTGGAATGTTACTTCTTTGGACAACTTACCCGTAATATATAGTTGTCATGAAATTTCCTTGTCGGGGCTGCCTCAAGACACTTTGCCACCAATGAAAGAATGACAAATGATATACAGGCAGGTCCCATGTTACAAACAAGATAGGTTCTGTAGGTTTGTTCTTAAGTTGAATTTGTATGTCAGTCAGAACAGGTACACACTATATTTTAGCTTTGGATAGCATAGAGTAAGGTTTGTACCCCTGTGGTATTTGTTCTGCTGCCTGTGCCCCTGTTCAGAAGATTTCACCTCACTTTCTGTCCCTCTGACAATTGGATTTTGAAAAAATGGTTTGTTGTGGAAACAAGGATTACTGATAAAGCTTCAGTGAAGACATCTTTTCTCCATGATAGTAACTTTTTCAGGAGTGAATTTCCCTTCCGAGGGGCAGATTTCTCTCACTTTATGTTGTCTCACCCATTTATAAGTCAGGTGTTTGTAATTTGGGGACTGCCTGTATATACTATTCAAAGCCAGCCAAGGGCCCTTCCATACAGCCATATAACCCAGAATATCAAGGTAGGAAATCCCACAATATCTGCTTTGAACTGGAATATGTGGCAGTGTGGATTCAGATAACCCAGTTGAAAGCATATAATGTGGAATTTCCTGCCTTGATATTCTGGGTTATATGGCTGTATGGAAGGGCCCAAAGTTGTCTGGCACATGAGACAGAACCACCCATTACAATGACAAATTAAATCCAGTAAGCAATGGAAATTAAATACAATAGGTAAGCTTCGGGCTTCAGTAATACACAAAGACCCACTTTTGTTAGCTCATGCTGTTCACGTTAGTTTGTGCTGTTTACACTAACCCATGTTTAGCATCAAAACAATACATTAAGTTTGTTCTTAATTGCCTTAGTTTGTTTTAAATCACTGTGTTTCAATATTAGTATCAAGACAATATAGATTTTATGGAATGGTACAGTATGGAATATAGCACTAGTCAGTAACTCTCGAGCAACCGCTTCTGTTGTGAGAGAATTGGCCGTCTGCAAGGATGTTGCCCAGGAGAGGCCTGGATGATTTTTGATGTTTTATCATCCTTGTGGGAGGCTTCTGTCATGCCCCCGCATGAGGAGCTGGAGCTAATAGAGGGAGCTCATCCGCCTCTCCCCAGATTCGAACCTGCAACCTGTCGGTCTTCAGTCCTGCCGGCACAGTGCTTTATCCCACTGCGCCACCGGGGGCTCCTTCTCGAGCAACTAGAAACTACATATATCCAGCATCTACCAATCCCTATGGGTGCCAGTTAACTGAGGCCCCTTCCACACTGCTGAATAAAAACCTACATTATCTGCTTTGAACTGGAATATATGGCAGCCTAGACTCAGATAACCCAGTTCGAAGCACATATTGTGGGGGTTTCTGCCTTGATATTCTGTGTTATATAACTGTGGAAGGGCCCTGAGAGTCTGTAATGATATAAGTATCTTAATATCATAGTATTATAATTGTGTTGGCTAGCCTTCCCCCAAATCTTTAGACTACTGCAACACATTCTATGTGGGGATGCCTTTGAAGACTGTTCAGAAGCTTCAAATAGTTCAGCAGGCAGCAGCCAGTTGCTAACTGGAGCAGCGCTTATGGAGCACACAACTCTTGTGCCAACTCCACTGGCTGCCACTGGCTGCCAGTTTGCTACCGGGCTGAATTCAAAGTGCTGGCTTTTGCCTATAAAGCCCTAAACGGTTCCAGCCCAGCTTACCTGTCCGAATGTATCTCTCCCTATCAACCACCTAGGAGCTTAAGATCGTCTGGGAAGGCCCTGCTCATCTTCTTCACAGGTGCATTTGGTGGGGACGAAGGACAGGGCCTTCTCAGTGGTGGTCCTCGGCTGTGGAACTCTATATTAGATATTAGATCGGCCCCCTCCCTCCTGACCTTCTGAAAAAAGTAAAAACCTGGCTCTTTGAACAAGCCATTGGAAATGCAGTGCAATAGACAAACACGGAGATTAACAGGAAGACATTAGTTATTGTATGTTTTAATGGTTTTTGTATTGTATTGATTTTATATTGATTTTAAAACGCTGTTTTAAATGTTTTAATTGTATATTGTGGATTGTTATGGCATCAAATTGCTGCCAATTTGTAAGCCGCCTTGAGTCACCTTTGGGCTTGAGAAAGGCAGGATAGAAATATCATAAATAAATAAATAACCTTTGTTATAGATTACATGAATCATAGTAAACTTACTAATGCTGCCCCTTCTAATCAGGAACTGCAGAAATACATCCTGGGTTGAAGCTGTGATATATTTATGAGGACTCCTGATCTCCATATTAATATCTAGATGCTG